TTATCATTATCTCATGCATTTGTTTCTTCCTTTTTCTCTTGAATCATTAATAATATGTCTTTCGTTATGAATAGTAATATACGCTTTTAATCTTTGTAAGAAATTCTTTAAATCATTTCCCGGTGATGTGCTAATTTGATCATTAATAATCTAAGCCTTTTAATTAATACATTGTTCTAATGTAACCGCATTGTCATTCATCCCATAGATCTGAACGTAATAATTATTTACAGCACTGAACAAATATATAAATAATATATTCTCCCATTCACCTAAAAAATTTCATTTAAATAACCTCCTTCAATTTTGAATGTGTACTTAAGGTAAATAACGTCAAAATTAATTTACGCTAACCAAAATCATTTATAACACGAGACTCTTTTCGCATACACTTTGACCAAATACACGATTCTGTTTAATGTCCGGATCGAATGAAATATGAGGATTTAACTTCTAATACCATAACAAAATTCCTCTTGTTTAACAAGAAAACCTTTTTTTTTTTTTTTTACTAATTAAACTGTTCTTACATGAACCCCAGTTGTATCATCTGCCTTTTTCTTCTTTTTTTTTGGTGGCTCCGGACGTGTAGATGGCCCAGCCTCCTTGTCATCTTTTCCCTCCCGAATCATGTCACCACACTGTAGTGCAAAATGCACCAGTTTGCAAATGTTTTCCCTGGAATCCGGGATTCCACCCAACAGCAATATTTCCTCCAGTTTGACACCTTTTGATTTTGCGATGTTGAACAGTTCTAGTTTGCTGAATGTTGGCAAACACTTCCCTTTATACTCCACCATTTCAGGATCTCTTTCTTCCCGAAATTTCCTTAAAACTTTTACAATATCCATTTTGCGTCTGATTAGGACCGCAAACTCCAATCAATTGACCAGAACACAAATGACCGCGTCATCTTTATATTCGAGGCACCCAAGGGTGAACTTGTAATAGTTAGAAATTTCTTCCAGTTCAGCAGAATGGTTGAAGCTAATTTAGAAACCAATGAAGCTTTCAGTGCTGTAGAATAGCTATCAAAATCAACCAATTATACCCCCTTTTTTATATTCTCCGATAAGTGTATTTCGTTTTACTTTGTCATGAGTACCTTCCCAAATATATTTAAAACAACAGCTTTCAATCTCTTTAACGTATTTGTCTGGAACAATACTCGAAGTAGCCAAAAATGTAAATTATGGTAGTATCAAAGATTTTCTAATCAAAATTTTTTTCCCATGCCTTAAGCAAGGATTTCATTTTATTTATTTTAGGTTCCCAATTTAATTATTCACATTCGTTTGTGTTATGACCAAAATTAAATTCTAAAGCTTTAACTGGTTTGTCGAGACGAAAAAAAGTGCATTTATATGAATTACTCAAAACATTCAATCAACATGTAATAAATATATAAACTGCATTGTGAATGTTTAACAAATACCTGGTACTGGAAAACAAATTAATACAGGGGTAATCAATAATATATGTGTAATTCAGACAGGGAATATACTGTGACATTCCCGGCTTGCGGTTTATATCCCCTTCGTCTACGGCTCAGGGAATATAAACTATGAATATTACTTTTGCTGTTGATATATATAGGAAGATGTGGTATGAGTGACAATGATACAACTCTCCATCCAAGTCACAATTATAGAAATAAACAACTATAGGTCAAGGTACGGTCTTCAACACGGAGCCTTGGCTCACACCGAACAGCAAGCTATAAAGGGCCCCAAAAAATTACTAGTGTAAAACCATTCAAACGGGAAAACCAACGGTCTAATCTATATAAAAAACGAGAAACGAGAAACACTTATGTACCACATAAACAAACGACAACTACTGTACATCAGACTCCTGACTTAGGACAGGTGCAAACAATTGGAGCGGGATTTAACTATTTAATGGTACCAAACATTCTCCCTTATCTGAAACAATATTGTAACATCACAACATAGAAAGACACACTATAAAATATCAATTGGAATGGATATTAACAGGTCAAATTAACAAGAAAGTACGATTTGAGAGTACTCGCAGTTACTGAGTCTGTCTTTGTGATATCCATTTGATGTGGCTATGTACTTACACATTTCGTCATTGTGTTATTGTGCAATAGTAAAATTTTGTATTCTTGTCTTCAAATTTGGTAATGTGTTGTCTTTGTTACATATTTGTTTATTTTTTTGGTGATTAAGATTGTACCCCTATTTTGGGCATTTTTACCTATAATTTCTGTTTGTCTACATCACACATCGTTGTCAATTTAATGGAATTGTATGCGACTGTCATTCAAGTGAGAAGTTTGGCTTGCTATAAAACCAGGTTTATCCACCATTTTCCAAATAAGAAAATGTCTGTACCAAGTCAGGAAAATGACAGTTGTTGTACATTCGTTTGATGTGTTTGAGCTTTTGATTTTGCCATTTGATTCGGGACTTTCCGTTTTGAATTTTCATCGGAGTTTTTTTGTGATTTTACTTTTAAAGCTTGGAATGTCACAATGTATACCCTATCTTAGACCTGAATACTATATAATATAAATTACTTTATATATAGGCACTTTAAAGATATATCACTGTCTGAAGTAATGACTGCAAATCATAACTTATCCATCGGAATTTGTATGATTAAGACATACCAGACGTTAGAATATTTATGAAATGCCTAGATTTTCACCCTCATGATGTCAGAGTAGATCAGATTCTTTACCCCCCTCCCCGTACTATATACATGACATATATATATAGTTAATGTCATACACAATTCTTCGGAATGTTACTCATAGTGCTAAGCATGATGCAATGTACTAAAATCCACGAATTTTAATTAAATAAATCAAGAATGCCTATTCCTCCCTATTTGTTAAGAAAAATGTCTCAGTGTTTACAACAGCGATTTTAAAATGATTATCCTTTACACACGTTTTGGAACAACAATTGAATAATGACGTCTAGATTATAGCAGAAAATTTGCACCTTTCTTGATTTGTTGAAGTTAAATGTTATAATGTTTGAATTTGCAATAGGCACTGACACTCAAACGTCTTTACTGCATATATTTTTTTTCGACATTTGTTCATGATTTTTCAAGTAAATATTTTACTTACAGAGTATTGTCGTTTATGTGTGACAATTGAATTTCACAGAAAATAAATCGAGCTTTGCACTTGAGGACTATGTTCGCATTTCAAAGCTTTGAACTAGATTTTACGACACTCGTTGAAAGTTTTCCCTTCATTTCTCTTTGAAAGAAAAAATAGTACATCAAATGTTTAATTTGTTACTGGTTTATATTGTTATGTTCATCAGAGGGATTTATTGTTAACGTTTACTCAATACAGTTAAACCTGAGTAAACCGGACCCTGAATAAACCGGATTCCTGTCCATTCCGGCCGAAAATTAAAGTCCAATTTTTTTCCCTTCAAATTCTTTGTTAAAATACCCTTTGTAAACCGGACCCTGTGTATTCCGAATTCCGGTCTAATGATATAGTCCGAATATTCTCAATTACATCAATTATAACCTGTCAAAACCTTTTCAGGATAATCAATTAGCCAGGTGTCAAACCGTTAGCTTACACATGGTACTGTAGTGAGCTGTATTATTGAAACACTATAAAAGTGTTTATTAAACTAAAAGACAAGCCGAATATATCTCTGATAGAGCTTAGTAACAAATCTCGTGTCACAATTCAAACAACGCGAAAATTTTGATGCAAATGAAAACAATGACCACAAAGTGAAAGCGAAACTGACAAGTCGGAGACTGATGCTACCGATGTCTATTTGACATACGAAGAACATCCGGTCTAAAAGGAAACCAAAATACACCGACCCACTGTCCCAACCGGCCCTTTTCCAAAGTCCCTTAGCCGGCCGGTTTATACAGGTTTTACTGTTGATCAAACTAAGCAGTTATTCTGTAACTCATTTTATGACAATACTTCTTTATTATAGGGCTTCAATAGCATCACTAAAGGACAATAATTGTTGAAATGCCCATCTGAAATAGAACATTTGGTATCATGTATGTTATCAATTGACTACGATTGCCAATTCTTCTACCAAATTCGAAGGTCGGTTGTTTATTCAAGGCACTCCGACTTCCTCTACCAATAAAACTGACCGCCACAGTATAGCCAATTGGCTAAAAAGTGGCGTTAAACTCCAACCAATCAATCATTTTTAATAAAACTTTAATAAATTTCCTAAAGACAATAGGTCAAATGTGTATAGAAAATAAAAGGAATAGCAAAATGTTGTGAGAGTCTGTCTATTTATTAAATTGGGCAAATTAAGAAATTCCATGAAAGGTAAGGACAATTATTAAACTGTTCATTAATTATTTCATATACATTATTTATATATAATTTACCGATCCAGAGTTATATATATGATGTGGTATATTCAGATGTAGACTGATATTTTTCTTGTTAGGCTTACTAGACGATTTATCCTTATAATAATTATAAGGATGTTGAACGAATTTATAGCCTGTTTCTAGTGTACTTCTAAAATACGAATAATGAGTTCATCAGATTCTTTCCTTGTTGTGTTTTTGTCCTATAATGAAGTTATGTCTTAAATGAAACCATTAGACGAAAGGAAGTATGTGATAATGTTCTAAAATACTGGTGTCTCAGCAGAGAGTCAATAGAGAGTATATGATGGCTTATTTCTGGTATGTAGTATTTTTTATATTTTTGAAGAACACAACGATTTAAAAAAGGTATTTTGTTGAATTGCTGACTCAAAGTCGTTGTCCAGTGAGTTGTTCCTTATGCTTGCCATCCCTGTATTAAACACCAAGATAGATACATTTGTACAGATGCCCAGCTTGGGTTGACACATTGACAGGTTTACGTAAACATTGTTTATTCAAACTTTTCCGACATATTCATTTACTGTCTCAAATTCCAATGATATGTGCATAAATAAATCGAAGTTTGTACATTCTAACTATAAATTTCACAGAGTTTGGATCACTGTTTTATATTTCAGAATGAAGATGATGTACTATAATGTAGCAGCTTGTCTACTTGTCATCGCAGTGTCAAATGACATGGTATTATCATGTCCTAGCGATTGTTCCTGCATCACAAATAACAATGGGGTAACTGTAGATTGCAGTTCCAGAGGACTGACTGTTATTCCACGAAACTTTCCAAATGACTCATACCGCATGTAATATGTTTTTCTCCATCATTCTCATTAATTGTTGTTTAGAAATATTTAAACATTAATACAAATATGATCATTTAATCATTTTTTTGGAAAATTAGAGAGAGAAACCAAAAACAAAAGTCTTAAAAAGACATACAATACCTTGACATAAAAAAGAAGAAAATGACTATTACCAGTTAATCGTCAAAACATTTTACAGAAAATATATATATAAGGGAAGATAAATGTAGCGAGAAACGTGGTGTTTACACAAGTGCTACTTGCAAAGGGACCGTAAAAGTTCTTATTTGTTTTCATTGCAGGTTACATTAGAATACTTGATTTTAAATATCAACAAATAATAATCCACAACAACTCCTTCAAATTATTTATTTTACTTAGCATCTAAAAAATCATAGCACTATAATTTGTAGAATTGTCATTGCGATTGATTAGTCGGTTGTTTTGAAGAAAAACAGAAGTTGAATTCTTATATATTATGTATGTGCCAATATATCATAACATTAATTCAGTTTCAGTAGGCGGAAAACAAATTGTCAAATGCTAATGATTTTTTTTGGTAGGAGGGATACAATCACTTCAATTATGAATTATTCAGTTGTTTTGTCAACTAATTTCATAATGCTAGCTCGTTTTTTTTTAATTTAATAATTTATATTGGTAAGGCATCAGTATTCGTCACTCTGTAAACATTTAAAAGAGTTGATTGATGGTAAATAAGGGTCTTATCAATAACCCTTATCATTTTTTTGTATCATAATTTTATCTACAAGCGTGACTGATTGCATTTTGGTCAGGTGTCCTCATACTTATATATATCTTGACGATTCTATATTTCACTTGTATTCTATAATTTCCATTCAAATGATATAGATGCATGGACTGTGCTGTCATGTCCAAACAGTATGTTTACCGATCTCAATTCAAGGCATATAGTGTTTGGTAAATAACTGTGAGGTCCATACACTGCCGCATAGTTCGAAGCGTTTGGAAAATGTGTTATTTGCTAATTTTTAAAGCATCTAACCAAAGTATAAAGTTTCATTTATGCTGCGACTCCAAAAGTATGCATTTGATTATAATCAATGTTAGTGTTTCATTGCAACAAGACATAAACACACATTAAAACCTTTAAATGTCCATGTTTTATTAGGAAAACATGGGCTGTGAAATTATATTTTTTAATATCTTGATTAATTTTCTTTTATTTTTTAGCCACTTATCTGAAAAAGAATTATTTATATTGTTATATATTTTTACTATCTATGACGTCACAATACAATTTATTCTACAGCCCTTTAAGTAGGTGACATATACAATTAATTTTAAAACGGTTAACAGGAATCTAAAAAAAAAAAAAAGCACAGTTCAACAGACCATATCAACCACCAACACTCCGAAAAAGAACTGTACACACGCGTTTGTGTAATGAATGATTATAAGAAATTGAAGTACTGAATATGATTCAGGAAACTATTCTTCTTTAATGTTGATGTTGAATATATTTAGTGTACACACAAATTATGTATTTACAGAACTTAAATAAAATTTAGAAAACATCTAGTGTTTATGTAAATGGGTCCCCTGTTTCTACCATGTCTGGTATTATGTTTCATATCTTAGACTATGTAAGTCATATGAGTGCAATTAACTGATTTTCCGGGTCATTTTGTCATATTTTTGAAACATTTTATTTCAAAATGAATCATGTTATCCAATTACTTGCTTCTTCATAATATTTTATTTTATTCAAAGCATTTGAAATCCAACCATTCACTTTAAAAATGTCAAATAATCTAACTATTTTGCCCTGTCACTAAGATTCCAAGAACATAATGTAAAATAATAGCTTTCATACCATCTTCACAAAATATACGTTTTTTCTATTTTCCTTGTAAATATGGAGATAATTGACTACATCCTGTGTACATACCGCCATTTCTGGTGTAATATATTACACTGATTCGAAAACATACACCTTTAAAAAAATTTTGCTAGAAATAAAGGACATATTTTTATTATTCTGCGTCAGAACCAATTGACAAAATGTCAATTCTGCTTTACCAAAATGAAGGTACAAAACAATTCAAAACATCAAAATAGCATTTGACCTTGACCTCAATTTCAAGGTTTAAGGACATGGATTTGAACTTAAATAATATAGTCATAGTCTACAATAAGGGTAGTTTAGACTTCTCATACCAAACAGCTTATTTTTAATATTTAAGGGAAGAAAATTATTTTAAAAGTCACTACACAGCTTAAACCCGAATGGTAACGAAAACCTTATGCTTATATTTTTGTAGTTTCTAAGGAGTTGCAAAATTTCAAACATACCCTTTACATCTGACCTTGACAACACTTTCCTTTCTAAGGATTTACTATCAAAAGTCTCTACGTCCCTATAACTCACGGTTTATGAGTACCTCAATTTTATCGATTTCTGAGGAAAAATGATAACAAGAAAACTATACTAGCAGAATACTTTCATATGGAAAAAAATCAGAGGTTTCAAGAGAGCACAAATTGTGCGAATTTATAAATAAATACCTAGTCAACATGTTGCAAACCGAAATCGACATTTCAGAAACAAAAGTTGAGAAACAAAAACAATGTGAGCATTTGACTTTTAACAAAAAAAAAAAACAGAAACTTTGAATGAAAAAGCAAAAGCTTCCTTTCATATCCTTAAAAAAATAACTTTTGTTATAAAACAACGGAGATGATCATAATCGAAGTTAATGCCAGAGTAAATAGCCTTTTTACACTGATAACGAAAATATATGGTCTATGCATAGTAGTGTTAACACGAAAAAAAATGTTTAAAGGAAATAACCCTTACAAAGAAACATGTTTAGTTAAACGGGCCCGGGGAGTTTTATATCTGAATAACATACCTGCTACGCAAGAAATAAAACAGAACAAAAATTTCTGAATGTTCAAAGAATGACTTATGATCAAATTGAACCGTATACCAATACGAAAAGGTGAAAATAAATAGTAGAATCCCACTGTTCAATAGTTATAGTTCGATCAAGTAAGAACTAATCCTGATAACAAACAAAAATCGAAGGAAAAACATATATAAGAGGAAAACAACGATTAAGCAGCAACACTGAACTACAACAATACCAAAGGAATGAGTGAGTTGAACCTTAATGTACGGCTATCTTAACCATCCGCTCACATGGCAATGTTATAAATACCGCTAAAATTACAACACTACATGACATGAACACAGTCAAACAAAGACCTAAAAATATAAACTAAAGAACAAAAGATTTAAATACTTATCTTATTTTGTTGTCCAGGTTAAGATCAAAATTTTACGACAAATATTGTCTATTAGAAAGGACACTTATTTATTATATTGTTAAATGTCTTATTGACAATATACAACATCTCCTAATATATTTTTGTTCTTTTCAAATTGTGGATGTCAGTACCATTAAAAGGAATTTTAGGCATTTTTTGTTGTTGAATAATAAGAACAGCTGTATGTTTAGTGGTATTCTTTTCAATTATAATTTGAATATCAAGCTTGTACGTTGAACTAGTCCAAACACATGAAAAGCAGCGACATTTGTTTAATTGTCTAAAGAGTGTGTGTTTGTTTTCCTCTTGCCGACCTTTAGGACAAATTTTAAGATAAATTTATCAAGAATGTCCATAGCACATCCTTGACACCTTGTTTTTTTTTTTTTTTTTTTATTTTAATCAAAAATAGAACTTGCAAATATAAAATATACCGCATGTATAGTTTTAGTTGTTTTTGAAATCCTAATTAAACACCTCTAAGAATACAAGTTTCGCTCGCTTATATTGATTATAAGAAATTGAAATATAGATTACGGAAGTGTTATTAATGGTCATTTTCAAATCAATTACCTTTAAGACGACGAAAAACTAACATATTACAATTCAATTCAACTAATATTTCTTCTCAGTTATGTTAGAAAACTAAGATACAAGGATAAAATCACAATTCTGAAAGGTCACCATAACACTTTAATTGAAATAAGCAAACAGAAATCTTATGTAAATGAATTTTTCCAGTTGTATATTGGAATTGAAATCATGTAAATATAGAATGTTCTAGTTTATATCCTCCTATGTCAATGCGTCTATACACTCAAATTAAAAAACATGGTACAAGTTTAGACAACAAAATGGTTGTTCGTGTCGTTGATTATTATCTTTGATATTTGTTTTCCGTAAATTATATTGTTATTAATAAGCTCGCTAGTTTTCTCGTATGAATAACATGAATAAGGTCAAATTGTTCATACCGGGAAGTCTTATCTATGACTCTACCGAATGGGGTTTGCCTACTGTTGAAGGCCTAACGGTGACATAATTATAATTGCTGATATTTATATGTTTATATCATTTGAAATCTAGTGTAGTTTTGTCTCATTGTTAATCAAACAACATCGATAGCTGCATTAGCACTCTTTATCAAAGGTAAACTTAAAAAGATGTTTAACAGCATCCTCAGCCAATTATGATAACTAAATATATACAAGCTATTAACGTAAAATATTATGTTGCTTTTGTGCATTTCAGAGAAATGAATAATAATCCCTTTACTACCATAGAAAAAGGTACCTTTCAGAATTTGACATTACTATATAGTGTGTAGGTATTAATTAGTTTTATCTAATATTGAAATTATTAATTTACCGTATATATAAATTTTCGTTTAGTGCCTAGAGAAGAAAAGGAAATTGCACATGGAACAAAAAAGAATAATGTATACCGAGTTTTCTGAATTTTAATGTTCCAAATTGCACGTCTGTATCATGAACAAAATCATATCGATAAAGTAGTCGTCCTACTTATACATACTGAATATCATATTGTGTGTTTTATAACAATGATAAAATTCTAAATGTGGTGATACTTGTCATATGCATCGCGCTAGAAGCAAAAACAAAATCCTCATGGAAGTCAAAAGCATTATGAATGAATTCAAACTTATAGTAATAATGGAAGTAAAAAGCATCATGATGAAATTCAAAAGTATCATGATGAAATTCAAAAGCATCGTGATTTAAGTCAAAAGCATTAGGTTGAAAGTTAAAAGCATCACAACGGAAATCAAAAGAATCATGTTTGAACAAAAAGCTGAGAGGGCCATCTTGTTCAAACTCTCGTTTTAACACAATCGGCTCCTAAATTTTAAAATAATCATGTGTCGAACCAATTTGAAGCATTTTAATTAGTACCGTTTATTTCATTATTGCCTAGTTGAAATGTACAATATTGTTTTGTTTATTTACAAAGATACAATAATCATTTCTACAATTTGATGTTTTAGATTAATCTTTGGGTCTAACTTATCAACAATCGAAACAGGCGCGTTTATTACTTTGCCGAATCTTTATATCATGTAAGTATTCTAAGTCGTTATGGTATTTAACTTTGGAAATACCTGCTCCTCATCAACGTAATTAACTAAACTCAACTTCCAAAAGAATATGTTGATCAAAATCCTTGATGATAACCTACCAATGAAGTTTGTTGCAAATGATAACCGTGTCAAACATATCGAAAGTATTTGTTTACAAAATCGATTTAATAAAACAAAACTTAGACATAAAAAAAAGTAAATCAATACTATAAAAGCTACAAATTGCTCCTTGCAAAGGAACCAACATTGTTATCGTTAATTCACGTCAGTTCTTTGCGATCAATAGTCATAACTGAAATTCCATGTCAGGTACGCTGATGCCTATATCGAATATAAAATTGAAGAAATAAGATGTATAACAACGAATGATCGAAAAGAGTAACCAGACACTGTGAGGCTTCCACTATATATGCTTTCTAAGTTTCAAATCACACTTCATAAAATCGACAACAGTTAATTTTTCTACTAGACATGTTCAGTTCGTGAGCAGGTCAACTGTTGAGGAAGCCGATAATGGAATATTGTACCAACAATACACTTACTTGACATCTCTTAGTAGTACTATTACTTTTACTTTTTTGCTTATGTACTGTTGTGTTGTATTACTGAAGAAATCGTCTATGAATATCAAAGTACAGCAATTTTTACATTTTTAAAGAACGGCTTGAGTATTTAATCATTTATCTGTCTAAAGTTAGAAATGCTGACGCGGACTGTATAAAAATCATAAAACAATGGTTAAAATTAGTTGGACAGTTCTTTATCGATGCCTGATTTTTTAAAAGTTGTTGTCATGTCAGTGTTTCTTTTAGAATATCAATCAAACGTGAAAGACTGGATCATACTTCATTCTCCTGAAACCAAAATCGCTTAAAGTCTTTACACAAAACGTTTTCTTGCTGAGTCTACTAAATGAACCACGAAACTTCTCAAGTTATTAGAAACTCAATTTTATCAACAATTGAAGTTGTATTTCTGAGTTACTGTTATTTAACCAACTCTTTTGGATATGCGGATCAGAATTAGCTTCTACAAGAATCGAATTATCTGTTTGAATACGTACAATTGAAGTCGCTTTTCTAGTGCAAACTACGCATTTATGACTTTCTATATTTTACACAAGCATGTCTCGTTTTGAATATATGCTGAAAAAGTTATTGAAATATTTACGAATTAGGTCCTTAATTTACAGCGAGTGTCTAAATGCGCCAGACATAGAACACTGCAATACTTTCTATAATTCAAACAATTTTCAATACTTTCAATAACGGAATTTGATGCGACTGTCATACAAGTGAGAGGTTTAGCGCTATAAAACCAGATTCAATCCACCATTTTCTACATTTGAAAATGCCTGTACCAAGTCAGGAATATGACAGTTGTTGTCCATTCGTTTAATGTGTTTTGTCATTTGATTTTGCCATTTGAGTAGGGACTTTCCATTTTGAATTTTCCTCGGAGTTCAATATTTTTGTGATTTTGCTTTTTGTTACAGAGACTTAGAAGACAATCACATAACTATAATACAGCCAGGAGCATTTAAACATCTACCAGCGATATACGCTATGTATGTATACAGTTTAAATGCAATTTCATTTAGAAACAAAATAAAATAGTCTATAGTCATTTATTGACAGAGTATGTTTCCTGTTAAATATATTATTTAGAAACGTCTACTTCTATTGCAGGACATCTAGGCATGAAACGTTTGTTGCTGGACGTAAAACAATCAATCCCGCGAGCGCGTAATATGTATACACTGCAGATTAGAGCATGGGAAAGGATATGTGCTAACAGAATGCATATATTTAATATATATATGTAGAACATATTTCAATAAAAAAACCAAGTTGTCTTCCATTTGTATAACTCAATTAAAATAATTGAATTTGAAACCATATACTGTATTGAGATAACGACCATCTTAGAACAGTCTTTCGCCCCTCTTTTGTGTCGTTTCGTGTTTGTTGTTGTTGTTTTTGTTTTTGTTTTGTTTTGTTTTTATTTTGTTTTTTTTTTGTTGTTTTGTTTTGTTGACTCGTACGTTGTAATCATTTCGACATGTGTTTATTTGTTTTTTTAATTTATTCTTTTTTTAACAATATTATAGTTTTATTCATCGAACCTTGCTTGTTACAAAAACAAACAAGATTCCAAGCTTCCCTTGATGTACCCTTTTACACTCCACTGACTACCCATGGAATAATCAGCTGATAAGATTAATTGACATATCCATTTATTAAGTAAACACTAGAATATCAATACTAAAAAAATATTCATTTATTATGGGTTTTTTTACTGTTAGTAACATTGGAATTATCATCTTAAGTCCATTGATATTTGTGTCTACTCTCTTAGTATATTCATTCTCAAAAATTCTGTAGACATCTATGTTGTTTTTTTTTGTTGTTGCTTGGATACAAAGAACGACTAATATATAGAGAAAATAGGTATTGTTATTAAAACAAATTATTGAATAATACTTGTTGCCTGTGATTCTCTACCCAAATATTAGGTGTTGTAGTTTTATGACAAAATTTTATATTACTTCTTTTAAAGAGATCATGTATTTGCTGCTAAAATCGAGTTAAATAAGAACATTATTATAAACACTTTTTTGTTTCGTCCCCTAGGGTTTCACCAGCCCAGTAGTCGGTAGTCGGAAGTAGTACTTCTGTGTTTACATTAATATCAATTATATGGTACTTTTTATAAATTTACTGTTTGCAAAAGTATGAATTAATCGAAATACTTAAGATTTTCTTATCCCAGGCATAGATTCTTAGCCGTATTTGGCACAACTGTATGGAATGTTTGGTCCTCTATGCTCTTCAACTTTATAATTGCTTGGATTTCTATCCATTTTGATCTGAGCGTCACTGATGAGTCTTATGTAGATGAAACGCGCATCTGGCGTATCAGCCCAGTAGTCAGCACTTCGTTGTTTTCATGAATATCAATTATATGGTTATGTTTTACCTGTTTATCCCTAATGACAATTCTTTTTTATTGCTCACTAGTAAATTATATAACTATTTTTTTTAAATACATGTAGTCAAAAATACCGATATTGTCATGTGATCTTGTTTCCATGGACATTTACTGAACTTCAAACAGAATCTTTTTTAGCACTGTGGATCCAGTTTTGTGGAATAAATTGCTTCAGTTTATGAAATTCAGCCATCCAGTTTACCTTAAACTTCAATTTCTTTAGAACTAGTTTTCTGACAATGACATAGTCTCATCCAGAATGTCATTTACGTATATTATACTACTTTTAATCCAGTTTTTTTATAAAAAATGTATTCCCTCATATTCTCTGCTTTCTTATATCAAAATATGTAAGTTGTTCTTTTGTTTGCCCACCCTCAGTCAAAATCAAGAACCTTTTTACTTATAGAATTATGGTACACAATCAAAATATTTAAAATGTTTAATATCATTTGAATTCATATTGAACATAAACAAAATATCATAATATACTTTTAGATAATAAAAAGGTATAAGTTTCCAGTTGACAAATTTACCAATAATAAGTCTGTATAACTATGATGCCTTTAGCGACATTAAATCTTTTTTAAATCGACCATTTATAAGCCCCCTTTTTCGTATGGACTTATAAGCAGGTTAACTTTTACTTTGTCAGGCTTCCAATGCCAAATATACTAAAAGCTTTGTGTTTCTTTTTCTTTAAGATAACTTTCATGAATTAAGCAAACGGTTCCCAATAATGTAAATGAAGGCAAGATTATTGTTTTATAATTAGTATTTTCCCAAAAATTGAAAGATTTCTTTTTTCCCATGTCTTGAACATTTTTAACACTTTTTCTATTTTATAATCCCAATTTATTTTTTGCATCCCTCTTTATTATGACCAAAAACACCTCTAGAGCTTTAATAGGTTTACCTCCCCAGTGATCCGGGAAATTGTATCTTTACATGATTGCAATTTCCTGATTCATAATCCTTCTGTTTTATTTCTATCTATCAATAAACCTGAAAACGAACCAAACAATTCTATAACATTAATTGAAGATACTACATCGTGCCTTTTTTTACCAAAAAAATGTTGTGTCATCTGCTTATTGCGAAAAGATAGCACTGTGACTTCTGCAATCTAATTAAACAGTGATATCTTTTACTTCGTTGCTATTTCTCATTTTTACAGCCACAATTTCAACATCCAAAATAAACAATAAAACTAATAAAGGACAACCTTGTCGGAGTCCCCGTGAATTATTGCAATTTTCTGATACCCACCCATCATTTATGATACTTGTTTGAACGATTTATACATAGTGTTAACCCACTTAATAAATGATTCGTTAAAGTCAAAAATATTGAAAGTTCAAGCGTAAAGTCCAATTTTAACGAATCAAATGCTTTCGTTTATCTATAAATAAAAAAAAAACACAATTTCACCTCAATTTTGTATGTTTCTGATCATGAGTAGTCTATAACATCTGGGATTTGTCTCAGATTGAACCCAGTTAATTTTTTTAACATCACCAGAAACTCTTATATAAATTTTGGAAGTACTTTTTTAAAACGTTGAACAAGAACATATAACAAAAATTTGAAATCTACATTTAAAAGGATTATTGGGCGATAATTTTCAAAAACTTAAGGGTCTCTCTTTTAGGATATCAAAGATGATATACTAGTACAATGTGAATATAAAAGACTGTTTCTATTATTTCCTGTATTTTTACACATTTACAATTTAAGTTTATTCCATTCCTCCACTCTAATTTTTCCACGCATATAAGTTGATCTTATTTTGTATCACTAATATACTTTTCTGTTAAATCTGTGTTTACATTTGTTTTATTATACACATTTTCGTTATAATGTTTTATTTTGTTTAGTAGTTTCTCTAGGTCCCACATTATGTCCTCATTATCTCCCTTTAGCTTACTCACAGATTTTTTTTCATTTTTTTAAGGGTAATACGACTTTTTATTTAGGTCATACCTTAAGTTTATTTCAACAGTAAAAGATCGTTTACTTGGTTATTTATTTTAGAAGGCTCTAGCGATAGTGATTCTACAATACAATTCAAGAACTCAACTTCAAATCCATTAAAAATCAAGTGACAGTTTAATGTGATAAAAGTAATTTTTGATTTGGTGTTCTCACTGGTACATAACCTATGCCTGATTTCGCCCTTTTCTATATTACCAAATAGTCACTTACCTTATTGGCACTTAGAGTGTAGATCCAAACCCTATGTGCTGTATGAACACGGTTTGGCTAAAGTAGTCATATGAAATATTTCATTTGACCTTAGTATAAATGTTTATGTTAAATGGTGTTCTTATGTTTAACTTGAAATGTGGCTTTAGATTGAACCAAAATTGGGCTGTATATTAACCATAGGCATTTTCTCTTTCGCCAAAAAGGTGCAATTGACATTTATATACAACTGTGTGTATATAGACCAATGTAGTTCAGTATATTGCTTAAAATACTGATTCCAAATTAAAAGAAATAAATGCAGTGTGTGATTATTATCTTCATGTCAAACCTGACAAATTCCCTAAAAAACATTTAAGAAGCATTTCAAATATTTATCATCATCCAGCATATGCAAAAAGAAATAGATTGAGTTGCTTAAAATAATAGAAACGTGTAATGATGTATCAATATTAGAGTCAAAAGACCTCAAAACAAAAAAAGATGTTACAGATCCATGAACACGAAAGTCGAAGAGAGTAATTGAATTTGTATTGATTTCCAAACATTTTAAAGGGTACTGCCTTTTCCACCTAGAATGTATGAGTCAAATTAGATATATAAACAATACTCAGACTACAATGTATATAATTAGCAGTTTAATAATTGAATGGAAAAAAAAACGATTATAGGATTGTTACATGATTAAATAATTAAACATGTTTAGCCCCCCAAAAAAAACACCTTTGGATTTTTTAAATAAAACTAAGGAGTACATTTATGATTTTAAACTTCAAATTGACAAATATTTATGTTATATTTCATTAAGTTAAGTAAAAACCATATACTTTTTTACATCTACTTAATGAATGTTCTGTACAGAAATGATTGTTATGGATATTTGGTATTTTTCATCTGCCAGTAATCAGAAATCAGTAATCAGAAAATAGATTCTTAAAGAACTCTATAAGACAGCAGAAAAAAAACCAGTCCAATTTTTTATCTCGTATCGTTATTAACCGTTACTCATGTATATTTGTGGGCTCAGTTCTAGTTTTCTCGTCATTTATTCAATGATTTGATATAGCTAGATCTTATCTTGTCAATTTTGAAAACTTGCCAATAATCTCACCAACTGTATCACTTGAAATCACTTCAAGATCATCACTTTTAATCACCTCCAGAGTATCACTTTAAGATTATAACACAATGTTGACTGCTGTATTTTTAGAGGTTTAGCTAGCTTTAAAACCAGGTGCAATCCAACATTTTCTACACAAGAAAATGCCTGTACCAAGTCAGGAATATGACAGTTGTTATCCATTCGTTTGATGTGTTTGAGTTTTTGATTTTGCCATTTGATAAGGGACTTTCCATCTTGAACTTTCCTCGGAGTTCAGTATTTTTGTGATTTTACTCTTTTCTTCATACCATCTTCAGTCTATCACTTTATATCATGATTAGAGTATCACTTTACATAACCTTCAGCCTATCACTTTACATCCCTTCATATAACTTTAAGTTTATCACGTTATATCACATCCAGTGTATAACTTTATATCCTCATTAGAGCATTGATTTATGTTTACCAACTGTTTTCAATTATCGTTGAATTCAAAACAATGTATACCATTTTGTTGTGGGCTGCGTTTTAGTATGTTGTCATTAGGTCAATGATTTGATATAGCTAGTTCTAAACTTATCCATTTCGAAATCCAGTTTAATTTATTTTACCACTTTGAATCATTTCTTGGGTAAACATTTTAATTACCACCAAAGTATCACTTTAAGTCACACATGTAATACCTAACATCACCACAAGAATATTACTTTTTATCATATACATGTAAATTTTACGGTCCAAAAAATTTTGAAAATATTTAAAGGCTATGAAAGGATTTCTATGCTTATTAACCCTTAACCATTAGTCCTTAGAATTGGTTCGGCGGGCTGATAATATTAACCTTTATTGATTGCTTCCAGAATGTTATCACATGCCTTTCCGTCCGTGACGTTTATCACATGCAACCTCGTGCATTTCCGGAAATTTAATTGTAAACCCTACACGACAGTGCAGAAAACCGCATTTGATTTAAGACTTTCCACAAAATGGTCGAGGAGCAACAATGAATTACCATTTAACATGCTTTGAAAGACATATCAAATTTTGAGTCCAAATCTAGACAGGTTCCAGCACCAAAATCTTCAGGCATTAATAAGATGCCACAAATTGTCCATGACAGTTTTAAAGGAAAAACTATGCACATGTTTTCGGGACAAACCTAACAGGAAAGGTGACAATATATTTTTCAAACTAAAAACATAATAATTGTTGTGATATGTCACAAGATAGATAAAATGCTTGTAATATCAATAAAAAACAATTGAAATTAAGAAATTTGTATTTGGTTGTCTGTAAGAAAAATTATTATCTAAAAGTTTAAAGAAAGAATTTTTTATAATAGTTCTTGTCTGTATTTCTTCTGCTGAAGTATATGATAAAAAGATCAGTACATGTAATTTTTCAAATCAGACCCTTTATCGGCCCTCGTTCATGATATCAGCCCTCGAGCCTGCGGCTGTTTGATATCATAACATAGGGACGATAAAGGATCTGATATGGAAAATGCCAAGTAATAATCTATACATATCACTTCGAGAGTATCACTTTGTATCACCTCAAGAGTATCATTTCTTATCACCTCCTGCGTATCACTGTTTCTCTAATTCTTCGTCAATTTATCCCTTTTTGCACCCATTGTATAACAAAAAAAATAATAAACGTGTGGTTCGTTCGATCTTAGTTCTTCATTGGTTAAAATCCGTATATGACGTCGAATTTTCTTGCTTTCCTCTGAATATCCAATTGTGATGGTATGAAAAAAGGCCACCATGCCTGATGACGTCATATAGAAAGAACACATCTTTTTGCAGATCATTCGAAAGGAAGGAATAAGTTCGCCTGCATATTGTATGAAAATCATTAGAGAAACAGGTTCCACCACCAAATCTTGTGTAAACGATATTTATCCTCTCTCGACAGTTAGATTTTAAATATTCAAAACGCTCGGCGAGCCTCGCGTTTTAAATTTGAAAATTTAACTGTCTCGAGTGGATAAATATCGTATCACACTCGATGCAGTGATACAATCTATATTTTTCTAATTCTTTGTCAATTTATCCATTGTATAACAAAATTTAATCAACATTTTCTGCATCCATTGTATAACAAAATTTAATCAACATTTTCTGCATCCATTGTATAACAAAATTTAATCAACATTTTCTGCATCCATTGTATAACAAAATTTAATCAACATGTAGTTCGTTTGATCTCAGTTCTTCATTAGTTAAAATACGATTATGACGTCGAATTTTCTTGCTTTCCTCTGAATTTCCTATTGTGATGGCATGAAAAAAGGCGACCATGCATGATGACGTCTATAGATAGATAGATAGATAGATAGATAGATAGATAGATAGATAGATAGATAGATAGATAGATAGATAGATAGATAGATAGATAGATAGATAGATAGATAGATAGATAGATAGATAGATAGATAGATAGATAGATAGATAGATAAGAAGATTTGGTATAAGTGCCATTGCGACAACTCTCCATCCAAGTCACATTTTGTCAAAAGTATTGTTCACAGTGCAGCCTTCATCACGAGCAAATGCTCACACCGAACAACAAGCTATAAAGGTCACCAAAATGACTAGTTTAAAACCGTTCAAACAGGAACACCAACGGTCTTATCTGTATAAAAAGACTTGAAACAAGAATCACATATGAACCACATCAACAAACGACAACGCCTGAACATCAGACTTTAGACAGGTGCAAACAAATGCACTGGGTTATACGTTTTAAAATGCGCCAACCTTCACCCTTATCCGGAAACAATAGTGTAAACATCACAGTATAGAAAGACACTCTATAAAATATCATTTGAAATCGCTAAACTCGATAAACAGACATATCAGAAATAAACAAGTGAACATACACTAATTGAACAATATATGACACAATGTTAATACAAAATTAATAAAAAAAGGGGAAACGTAAAACATTATTAGAAAGACAACCATAACCTTTGACAAAATGCCGCCAAACATACAAACGTTCACCGGGAAATAAAACTGATTTTTATTACCACCAGGGTATCACTTTATATTTCAAACAAGCATATCATTTAATATCACCTTCATATTATCACTTAATGTCCCGAGCAGGGATCACACGTTATGTCCCCAGCAAGGGTATCATTTTATATCACCACCAGAGTATCTTTTCAGGCCATCACCACGGTATGACTATATATCACTGCCAGGGTATCCTTTTATATCAGCACCAGTGTATCACTTTATATCACCACCACGTTATCATATTTTATCATCACCAGGTTATATAATTATCCCTTTAAATCAAGGCAATAGTTATTTTTATCACCATCAGATAATACTTTTATATCAAGACCTGATATCATTTTATATCCTGAGCTAGGGTATTACCTTATATCCGCATCATGGGTATCTCTTTATATCAAAAACAGGGTATCACTTGATATTCACAACAAGGGAATCACTGTTTATCACCACCAGGATATCACTTTTTATCTAACAGTGTATCACCAGTCTAGTTGTCAATACACTGATACTTGCATGCGAATACTGATATTGTGTTTTGAAAAATTTACAATATCTTTAAAATCATATTATATCAGGAAATAAATATCTCCAAACCTTTGATTCCTTGTCTGGCTTTGTGCCAACTTTTCTTGTTAGGTTTACCACTTCTTCAATTATTTAATAAGATTTGGATTTTAAATTCTAGAATGTTTACATTCTACACAACCCTAAACATGAATTAAGTTATGTTCAGTTAGAAACTGTTTTTGTCAAAAAAATGTGTGGGTCTTATGATTTAGAAATCAAAAATATTGATGTCTTTACTGTTCGTAATGAAAAAGTCGAGAATGCACAAAATCCACTGATGACCATAGAGTAGCCAAAAAGGCAATAATCGGGAAGGTAAACACGATGCTCAAGATATACTTGTCACACACTAAGACCCGTCCCAAGTAAAATGCAGATATCGCATTTGTAAGCCATTCATTAACGATGAACAAAACAGATATGGTTGCATTGTTAGTCAGAAGTACGCGATCAAGAAACTCAAGTTTAAGAAAGAAAAATTACAAAAGATTGTGTACTATGCTTCTCCATCGTGATGCTTGGAATAATAAACGAATTGTAAATGTAAAAGCAATTCCATGACTCGTGAGTGACCACAAAACCCTACAATATGACTTGGAAACGAGCGACATTACTCAGAAATGAGTTTGACACTTAATCGTTATTGGTTTTCTTGGTGGGTAACTAGTCCATTACATAGGAATTTTGGGAGTCATTTTCTCGATTCTGCTGCAAGATTTTTGTTTATTTAGTTGAGGGTCAATTGTTCTGTATACACCACAATTTTGAGAAAATAACACTGCATAAATACTAACCACAGTTAAACATAGAAATACTATTTCGTTTTTTTCTTCTTCAGATATTTGTTCAGCAATCAAATAAATGCAATACAACGTGGAATATTTGACAACCTACAAGCGCTTATCCGACTGTACGTATTCATTATACTATATTTAACGATATGTAAAAGGAAACAAAATCTTAATTCACACAAACGCAGGCTATGATAGAAAGACGATGGATATGGGATATTCATTTATGACACAAAATATGTGTATGCACAGAAAAACTCACAAAAAGCAAAGGAACCGTCTTTTTTGCAGTTTTTCATCTCGAACTCACAGCGAGGCCTTCAACAGGGAGCAACAAAGTCATCATCTCACTGCAGATTTTAGACGGCTCCTAGCACCGGCTATGACGGATTTCATTTCTGTAAAAATAATTTTAATAGACTTTGTCAAATGTAACATCACCAAATCAAGTCAAAAACAGAACACACAGAAAAGAAGTACTTATTCAAAATAAAATAGTTCCTACAGTTAGGTGTAAACATCAACCTATGTACATTATGATTTGATAAATTATGTATGAAATGAAAGACGAAGGACTGTGATCGTTGTAGAACACATTTAGACAGATAATTTTCAATACTACACAAATATATGAAGGCATTTTAAAATTGAGGGAAAAAATTGCATGTTTCTCCGAAATGAAGTTCTTGGTTTGGTGTATCTATAGTTCTAGTGCGGTCTGGTTTGTAAATAACCTAATATCGACCACCCTAATTGATTGATGGTGATTTTGGTTAATATGTATTCGGTTGTTATGCTTATGGCTAGCTGTAACTATATTGATCGACAATGTAACCATTAAGTCTTGTAAAATTAAACAAAACATTCGTCATCAATTTTGAATTCATGAAGTAAGCTTACTTAAAACAAAATTAGACCACACAACTTGTTTTTGTCTTACATATTTATCCGACGGTTGAAGACGATGAATGAGTAATGTATCTTGACATTTGTATCTCCGTCAATTTCTAAACAAAAAAATATAGAAACTAACAGTTAAATCGATTCTGCCAGATACACAAAAAAGCAACTATGTCCAGAAGGATTAAACAAAATATCTGATAATTTTTTATTAAGTTAAATTGTATAACGTTATATCGTCACCATAGCTCCGAGTTCAACAATGAATGACATTTACTGTCAATTTCTTTTAATGATTTATTAAGGATAAGTTATAAAGTAGATTCTGATTTAACGTTTTTAGTAACACAAAGTGTTTTGTTTGTAGGCGTTTGTTTTTGTTGCTGTTCAGTGTTTCTGCGGTTCTGTTGTTTTACATTTTATATTTGAATTATAGAAGACGTATAATGTTATGATATAATCGGCGTTATCGGCGTCGTAGGTGTCCTCGTTGTTCAAAGAAAATTGACTGATTTTTAGACAATAACTTTAGTATAGGTGTATAAATCTCTATTAAATAGTACCATAAGAAGTAAAAGTACAAAAATACTGAACTCTGAGGATAATTCAAAACGGAAAGTCCCTACTCAAATGGCAAAATCAAAGGCACAAACACATCAAATGAATGGATAATGACTGTCATATTCCTGACTTGGTACAGGCATTGTCTTATGATGGAAAATGGAGGATTAAACCTGGTTCATAGCTAACTCAACCTCTGAATAATGTTCCTTGTCACAAAGGGAGGGTTGGGATTGACTGTAGGGGATACTTTATAGGAATTTGGGTTCAAAAGATGCCCGTAACAAGCTTTTTTCTTGTTTCAGGACAATAACTTGTGTGTAAATGTATAGATCTTTATAAAACTTTATCACACGGCTCTATATCTCTGGGGTTACTATTTCTTCTAAAGTAGATTCTTTGATAGACAGAATATAATAGTGTATTAAGATTTTGGCTTTTGGGTCCCACTTACAAATTTGTCCACATTGAGGTCCAACGGGTGCAAAATAAACTTTTTTGTTTGGTTACTTCAAAATTTAATTCTTAGGGTTCTATTATATGCTGAATCTAACGATAGTTACATTTTGGATACTGGACCATAAAAGGTATATATCAAATTTCATTTGTTTTATGTTATTAGACCACATTCATTCTGTGTCAGAAAATATGCTATGTCAAATACTTAATCACATTCCAAATCTAGAGATATAATGCAAATTTAACAGAAATTGTAAGTTGAATAATACTTAACAAATAAGACAGAGCATCATGTTCTAATTTTAGAATGCCAAGCGGAGCATTTTAAATAACACATATAAACGTTATATGCATATAAGAGGGCCAAAGATACCAGAGTGACATTCAAACTCGTATGTCGAAAAAAAAAACAGACAACGCCATGGCTAAAAAAAAGACCAATAGACAAACAATAGTTCATAAAACACAACATAGAAAATATAGTCTGAGCATTACGAAACCCACTAAATATTGGAGGTGATCTCAGGTGCTCCGAAAGGGTATTGAGTATTGGCTCCTATTTAGACCTTTTCCCCAGCATTTAAGCAAAGAAAACTGCCTAACATACTAACAACAGGTAAACATAGCAATACTTATTTGTTTTATTTTAGATCGTTGTACAATAATCAAATAACTGCACTACAACGTGGAATGTTTGGCAACCTACAAGCACTTACCGAACTGTACGTATACATTATACAATATTTACGAGATGTAAATGGAAACAAGATCTTAAGTCAAACAAACCCACTATAATAAAAAAAACGATGGATGTGGGATATTCATTTATGACACAAAATATGTGTATGCCATAAAAAAAACTCACAAAAAGCAAAGGAACCGCGCTTTTATTGAAATTTTTTGTTCATCTCAAACTCACAGCGAGGCCTGCAACAGGGATAAAAGAAAGAAAGCCATCATCTCACTGCAGGTTTACGACGGCTCCTAGCACCGGCTATTAGCTCTAATAGACTTTGTAAAATGTAACATCACCAAAATCAGGCCTTGTCAAAAAGGAACATACCGGTAAGAAGTTCTTATTCAAAATCAAATAGTTCCTACACTTAGGTGTAAACATCAATCTATGAACATTATGATTTGGTAAATTATGTATCAAATGAAAGGTGAGGGCACAAATTGCATGTTTCTTAGAAATGAAGTTCCTGGTTTGGTGTATCCATAGTTCCAGTGCGGTCTGGTTTGTAAATAACCAAATATCGCCCACCCTAATTGTTTGATGGTGATTTTTTGTTAATATGTATTCGTTTGTTATGCTTATGGATATCTGTAACTATATTAATCAACAATTCAACCATTAATAGTATGATCCTTTAAAGCCTCTACATGTAAAAGTAAACGAAAACATTCGTCAGTAATTTTAAATTCGAGAAGTAAGCTCACTTTAAAAAAAAAAGCGAAACCACACAACGTGTTTTTGTCTTACCTTTTTTAACACGATTAATGAGTAATGTAACTTGACATTTGTCTCCTCGTCAATTCCTAAACAAAAAAATATAGTGAATAACAGTTAGTTCGATTCCGCCGGATATACAAAAAATCTGATTAAGTTAAGTTGTAAAATGTTATATCGTCACCATATCCTAGTTCAAAAATGAATGACGTTTACTGTCAATTTGTTTTAAGGATTTACTGAAGGATTAGTTATAATGTGATTCTGATTTAAATGATATCAGTTAGGGAGCAACCATCAAACTTCAAGGGGGGTATGGATTTTTTGTTAGTCAGAAATAGGTTTTTTTTTTCGTGCAAAGCGCTAACAAATTTACTTAGTTTTTTGACACGATCAATCAGATTTTTTTTTCAATTTTTAACACTAAGGTATTGGGGATTTTTTGTCTTCTGCTTGACAAAAAAAAAATGTCCATCAAATAGGGGATCAGAATATTTTCCCCCCTGGAAGTTAAATAGTCGTTCCCTTTGAAATATTTTGTGTTTGTTGGCGTTTGTTTTTGTTGCAGTCCAGTCTTTCTGTTGTTCCTTTGTTTCCGTCTTATACAGTGAAACCTGTTTTAAGGGACCACTTAAGGGTGAGCAAAAAAAGTAGTCTCTTAAGACAGATGGTCTTTAAATAAAGGTTCAATTCGTATGAAATGTACTACAGAGGGATATAAAATTAATGGTCTTATAACACAGGTTTTTTGCTTAATACAGGTGGTCTCTTGAGCAGGTTTGACTGAAGTTGAATTATTAAAGTCGTAAAATGTTATGATATAATCGGTGTCTTCTGAATCGTTGTCGTCCTCGTTGTCCGAAGAAGATTGCCTAATTTCTAGACAATACCTATAGTTTAAGTGTATAGATCTCTATGAAATAGTACCACACTGTTCCTTTCCACAAAGGGAAGGTTGGGATTGACTTGACAATAACTTGTGTATAAATGCATGAATCTTTATAATAGTTTATCACACGGTTCCATATCTCTGGGGTTACTACATCTTCTTATGTATATTCTTTGATAGACCGAATCTAATAGTGTATTTTGGGTCCCATCTACAAATTGGTCCACATTGAGGTCCAAATGGTCCAAAATAAAATAAAAATTGTTTGATTTCTTCAAAATTGATTTCCTGGGGTTCTTTTATGTGCTGAACGTAACGATAGTTGGATTTTGGATACTTGACCATAAATGGTATGTATCACCTTTCATTTGTTTTATGTTATAAGACCACATTCATTCTGTGTTAGAAATTATGCTATGTCAAATACTTAATCATATTCCAAATTCAGAGATATAATGCACTTTTAAAAGAAATTGTAAGTCATAGTTAAAAAAAAGATAGAGCATCGTATTCTAATTTTAAAATGCCCAGCGGAACATTTTATTTTTCACATATAAACGTTATATACATTATTGTTATCAAAGGATACTAGGCTTATAATTTGACACACCAGACGAACGTTTCGTCTACATAGAGAATTTTAAGTTTCAAACGAAACTTATGTACGTTAACACAAGTAACTTATACTTACATTTATACGGCTTTATAAGACATAATATAAATTGTGGTTGTCTCCCTTCCCCGGTTTCAGCATTTCAGATTTCAGTCGGATAGTTGTGATATTGTTTTAATTCTAAAATAACATTCATGTATCAGGCACGGACCATTCGATTTTCGGTTTGGTGTTTGGGGGGGGAGGTTGCTGTGAATTTGAATTGAAGATATTGATTGCCCTGATTTTGACTGAATGAAATTGATTGCACAGTTGGAAATGAAAAAAAATAAACAAGTTTATGCGTTGAATATAATGGTTCTTCTTAATACAATCATATCTATTTGGGAGGGGCCTAGATCAAATTTGAAGTAAAAAAACAGGACCCTCGAATTTATTGTTAAACAAATTTTGGAAGAGCATTTTCAAAATGAAGAGGCAGAATAATTTATTTTTATTTCTCTCCGTCTTTTAACATGTTTAAAACTTTTCAGTTCGATTTGGCCGTTTCAGTCTGATTATTGGTTACTAGTGGGAAGTTTTTCAGTAATGATATATTATCTTTAAAAAACTTAAAATAAAATTATGACGCAGAAAAGAAAATGAACTTAAATATCGTTGGTAATACTCGGTAGTTTGTCTGCAGACCATGTAGACTTACTGTGTACTACACATAAAAAATTACAAATAATTTACGCAGGGGTCGGGTGTCTGTGATTTGATCCTACCTTTTGTTTTTGGAAAATTAGAAAAATTACGGAAAAATTACGGAAAAGTAGACAATTGTTTTTTTCTTTTATTCTGGAACCCCTCTTTTTGAAATGTCTTGATCCGCCCCTGTTACTAATCTACCACTTTAGAACCAATGTTTTGCTATATATTCAAGTTTGTTGTAGTCCGGATTATAACGTAGCAGATATAGTCTGATAGCTTCCCGAATTAAATCAACAGAAATTGAACTCTCCTATAGAAAACCATAGAAATGTATGTCGTATATTTACAATTGGATGAAATTTTCTGAAAGTTATTTTTAATAATTTAAGTTATGATTTCTTGCTATTGGTGTATTACTCTTGATTTGAAAATACTATCACATGTTTTCCCTTGATTGAAATTCAAATGCATTTGTCAAAAACTAACACAAAAGGTAGTTTCAGAGCTAGGTAAGTCTTTACTTTGGGACCTCCTTTGGCTTGATAACTAGTTTGATCTGAGCGTCACTGATGTGTCTTATGTAGACGAAACGCGCGTCTGGCGTATTAATTATAATCCTGGTACCTTTGATAACTATTGAGCATATATACGGATTTTCACCCAATCAAATATGCTGCTTCATTCAGCTTTGATTGTCGGTCCAATATTTAAGGCAATGCAACCGGAAAAAAATATAAAAATGACCATTTCCGAAAACCCTACTCGGAATAGTTCACCTGTTATGGTAATAAATTGATTTGATTGACAGTTCAATCCAATTGCCATGTGACAATCAATTTCTATAGTTAATACGCTGATCGTGGTAAAAGGGGGCGGGTCCAATAATCTAAGAGTCTAATCACGCTCCGGTGATATAAATGATTAAGATATTATTACCCATTATGCGTCATTTGATACCGTATCTCGCCTTCGATAGCTTTCATGTCGGCTTGCAACTAATTTTGTCGACACGTCGACCTTTTCTCTCCGCGAAAGCATTTTTTTTCAGAGTAATTACCTTTCCCCAGCGATGCTTCGAATAGTAATATTATCACAATGCTACCTTCTATCCCTCTGCCTGTCCAGCCGTTCGTCCGTTCGTAACAACCATAATAATAACACTCTTGAATCTGCTTCTGCAAATTTATCACACTGTTTTTTTTTTCACTTGCCATACTTTCCAGGTAAAAGTTTTCAAACTGCTTTTTTGGATAATTTTTTTGTAATGGCACACACCACACAGATCATTCATTTTAAAAAAGAAAAGCTGAGTTATCAATAAGACAAAAGAAATCATGTTTGTATTCTTACAAATATTAACAAAACCCTTAATGGCAATCAAATAAAATAACCCCCAAAACGAAATGATAATCAAATAATATCCCTAAATATTAGAAAAACATTACAACCTGCATGTATATATTTACCTAAATTACTAAACTTGTGTCCTTAATCTTTGATCAACTTTAACCTTTTTAGAATAAATATGTTCAAACACTAATTTTCCCGTAAACTCTTTGATTGCGACACGCCATATTGACAAATTAGTTTAAATTGGTAAAATTGTTAACTGTCCCATGCAAACAAAGTTTGCCTTTTCGTATGTTCAGATATAAGTGTAAACTCTCGCTCGTGGAATACGCTATTTTAAAAAGATTTGAACTAAATCGAGAAAGAGAGACACACACAATTTTACAACGACCAAGTTTAGGTGTATTACGTACTTCAAAATATACGATTTTTGTTTAATTTATAAGTTTAATGGTCAGCGGGAGATAACAATTAACATTTTTTGAAATGTTAAGGTATATTACGTTTAAGTACGTCAAAAACCTAAAGTTCTCTCATAAGACTCACCAGTGACGGTCAGATCATAATATTAAGAAATCATTAAATAGAGTCGAAAGATAACAAAGGGACATTCATACTGAGAAGTCGAAAATAAACTGACAACACCATGGCTAAAAGAGAAAAAGACAAACAAACAAACAAAAAAACAAACAAAAGTACGGAGAACACAACAAAGAAAACCAAAGAGTGAGCAATACGAACCGCACCAAACATTTTGGGTGATCTCATGTGATCAGAATGAGTAAGCAGAACCTGCTTCACCTTTGGAAAAAGTGAAAACAACACGTTATAATGTTGATGCGTCCGAAGGAACCCATCATGTTTCTGTGTACATTTATCATATATGTTAGTTGTTCAGGTAACAGACTAAGGGTCCCTGTTTACAAAATGAGCCGTCTTTCTAGGGGAAAAAGAAGACTAAAATGTACTCCTTTTTTTTACCTTAATTTTACGATTAGTTTCACAAATATATCCATATTATAAGAAGCATCTAATTCTATATCGGGAGTTCAATATAGTAATTCATTTATAAGATACCCACAAAAACATGTGCATTAACTGCAACACATATAATCGGCTAACACTTTTATATAAACAAGCTTCAATGAACTTTCTGCATCCCATGCAAGAGCTCACAGAGAAAGAGACTGATTTAGAGGATACATCAGCTCTCATCAGCAAATCAATTAGGCTTTTGTGCCTACGGAAATTTCCAATTTCCGCGGATAAAATGTGTTTACTTGTTCAATTTGGGATGGTAAGTCAAAACAAACGGCACACGTTTGTTGGCCGTTTAGTTTTTCTATTGTAAAAATAGATTTTGTTAGAATGAGAGGAATGTGGCTTTTCTTCTGTAGCCCCAAATTTTAAAGTGAACGCTGAGTTCTTGCAGTATCATTTGTGGAGCAATTCCGTTGTGTTCGTATGGCACTGGCTGTGTGAAATTATCTTGGTACAATGTTTCGGATGACAACTCAACGGAGAATAACATTGATGATTGTTTGTGGATTTGCAATACAGATCTGTAAATATGATCACACCCTTCACGTGCGTAGCAGTGTCACTGTGATCTTAGAGTCAGATATTTCATAAATGAACTTTATAAAGAGATGGGCATCGTTGACAGTTACTGAATTAAAATGAAATAAATGTCTACGAATATAACACGCTAATTGATGCATTAAAAATTTTCTATTAAATTTTGAATAGAAATAAGCAATATTTCGTTAGACAAACTAGCTTCATCAGTCGTGTGCATCAAACAAATGCAGCCAGTTAAAACGTTTTAACAGGCGCCATCCATTACCCTAACCTGCAACAGAAGTATAACATTATAACATAAAAATACACCCAATAAAAATCAATTGAAATGGCTTAACTCGATAAAAAAGTAATATTAACAAAAAGAAATATTAACAAAAACAATAGATTACCAATATGTTTATTGATCAATTTCTACATCTTTGTGTAGTACAGCTCTTAAAACAGAATAACCACTGGTACTTTGTTCGTTTGACTTAACTGGTCGTAACGCTATGGAATGCTCAAGTTGTCTTATTGGATACTATGGTATAATTACCTCATATTTAAGATTTTTTTAGCAAAACATTTTGTTTGTTCAAAATGCTATTATGTAAGCAGTTAAAAGAAATATATTTGGTTATTTTAATTATCTGCTTAAATTTTCGATTGTATTTCAATGATTACATTTAAAATATTGAAGAGGTGATGAAATTCGAAAATATGAATTTAATTCATCCCTCACCGGTTACAGGATAACAAATGCATTATGGTTATCTCAGCATTACTTCGTTTCAGAGATTTGCGTAACAATCAAATAACTACAATACAGCAGGGAGCATTTCAAACCTTATCAGCACTGCAGACACTGTAAGTATGCATGTGTATAGAAATAAGACGATGTGGTATGAGTGCCAATGAGGCAACTCTCCATCCAAGTCACAATGTGTAAACAGTAAACCATTATAGGTGATAGTACGGCCTTTAACACGGACTCTTGACTAACAACGAGTAGAAAGCTATAAAAATCCCAAAATGTCTTGTGTAAATCAATTGACACAGGATAACTTATTGTCTAATCATTAAAAAAACGAGAAACACTTATGAACCACATCAACATATGACAACCACTGAACAACATATTACTGCCTTAGGACAAATGCGGCTAGTTTAAACGTTTTAACAGGTGCCAACCTTCACCCTAATCGGCAGCAGTAGTTTAACATTACAACATAGAAAGGCACACTATAACATATCAATTGAAACGGCTTACCTCGATCAAAAATAAATGTTAACAAAATTAATATATTACAAATATTTGTATTCCTCAAACACTTGTCAATTGTTCGTTTGACTTAACTAGACTTAACGCTATGGAATGCTACGATTGTCTCAAGGAACACTATGACATAAGGTGACATGGTTTTATTATGAGAAGATATTTTGTGATACATAGTATGGTTTTCACACTACTTAATGATGTTGTGAAATGCTCAATATAGTTATTATGTAAGTTATATTACATGATATGGTTTCGTAATGACTTGATATGCTTTTAGCATTACTTAATATTATTTCATTAATTAAAGAAGCTATGGCTTTAGGCAATGTGGTTTAAACAATACTTGATGTGTAAGCGGTTACACGGAATATGGTTGTTTCAGAACGTAATATGTGGTTTCTTTATTTTATAGTTATGATGTGTTCGTTCCAGTTTTTAATATGGTTTTTTTCATTACTTGATGAGGATATCACATAAATTGTTGAGGCAACCTCGCTTACCCTTTTTGAAAAACATTTTTTTAAACCAATTTTAATGTTGTTTGTTGTATGAGCGTCGGATGGGGGTGCTATCTATCGAGTAAAACTTCGCGGGCGTTACTGTTCGCGTTATTCAATTCAAGACATAAATAAAGCCAAAATTAGAGTTAAAGTTACAGGTTTAGTTACATTTACAGGTAGAGTTAAAGTTACAATTCAAGTTCATTTTATTCGAGTAACATTTCGAAATATTTGAAATAAGTACTTATTAGTTAATATGATAAAATTCGTCCAGCATAACAAAAGGGAGGTAAAAGGTAACAATGAGAAATTCAAACTCACTAGTCGAAAACGAACTGACAATGTCATGGCAAAAGAAACGGAAGAATTTATCTTAACTATTTGTACGAAAATAAGTTTGAAATGGAAATGGGGAATGTGTTAAAGAGACCAAATAGCAAACAACCACAGAATACCACGAATGGGTTTTCATCACAGCGAGAACATCCCGCACCCACAGGCGGGCTTCAGCTGGTCCCTTAACAAATGTTTACAATTCAGTGAAATGGACGGTAAACTCCATAACATATTAGTAAACTTAAATTTCTAAAACATAGAAGACTGACAAAAGCAACAAGCTCCTGACTTGAGACAGGCGGAACAATGCGGCGGGATTAAACATGTTTTGTGAGATCTCAACCCCCCTCCTTATACATCAAGCAAATTTTGAATAAACAAACACACAGCAATACATATATGAGAATAACCTTACCCGTATCATGTCAACAACTTGTTTTAGATTAAATGGGTTTATCAATGATGTAAAGACCACATGAGTAAACCAATATTAATATCAAAATATGCCATCATTATAACAAAACATGTGACAACATAAGCTCAGCCGTTTGCCGTCAATGGTTACACAGGTCTAACACCATAATAAATAAATAACTCCTCTCAAGTTTAGCCCAAGAATGTATTATCTGTGGCGATATTTGAACCCCTACTTTTGTTACATAGCGGAAACATTAACTGTTTGGTCTCGTGCTTGATGATTGTCATATCTACTTCAATGCTGAACAATATAACATTGATATTGCACTTTCTAAATCTGTTGTACAGAATATTTCTGTTTACATTTAACCATTAATCAACAGATAAACACCAAAACAGATTATTTTGGCGACCAATTCTTCGATTGTTCGAACAATACAATAAGTTATTTGATTTATATATCTCACCGATATTTAGATATAAAATTTCAAATAAAGGAAGATTTGCTTTTTTAGTATTTTTGTACGTTGTTATACTATGAAAATTTACCAAAACTCCAAATGTTTTCATAATGTATTGTATTGATTTCGGGTCATATTAAGTTAAATATAAAACATATACTATTATAGTATTACTTATTAATCGGCAATGGTTGAATTAATGTGGGTTTGTCTAGAATGTGATGCGCATACAACTACTTGATAAGATAATGACGTCATACCTCGATTTGTCTATTCTTAATTGATTCATAAGTTTAGAACATGATCTAACTATTTTTGCCTTGCTTTATATTTTTCAGAGACTTGTTAGGAAACAATCTGACATTTATCAAGAACGACACTTTCGAACATAACACTAACTTACAATATTTGTAAGTACAAATATGTTTATTGAACAATTAATAGTTTAATGACATTCACAACCGATTTTTAAAGCAGTATTATATTATTTGGTTCCTATTTCATCGTGAGATAGTGACAGATCAAACACTGCAGTTGAATAAAATTTGTTGATTGTGAATCATCCACATGATCCTTACCTGTTTACGAGGTAAATTTCTATGTCTATAAAAATTTAAACATTAATCAATACTAAAATTTAAGATGATAAAGAATATAAACATAACAGTATTTGGTACAAAATTAACAAAGATTAACAAAACATGTATAAGTTTCAGAGAAGATAGTACGATAAAAAGTTTTTACTCGTTTTACCTTCAAATTGGCCAGTATAGTAATAAAAGTTGTTACAGTAACAAACTACTTGAAATTTTACAGATGTTATACAGGGATACATTTATCATAGATCTATGTAACAAAATCACGATTAAAAAAGTTTATTTAATTTCTAACGCATTAAATTGCAAAAAAACTGTAACTGCTGGAGTTGTTTTGAATTGTCGTAGCTATATAAAATGTCAGAGAAAAAAATAGTGACCAGTATAAAATACTTGCAACCTTAGGCGTTACTATTTTAGCGATCAATCAGCAGTCATCGATCAGTCATCGATCAGTCAAGTTCAGGTCAAACTCACGTCACCAATCCGTCAGACTTATAGTAAAAATATTTGACTGATCGGACTGATCGGACGGATCAGACCGATTGACCTTTCTGATGAATTGAACTGTTCTATGTCACAGAATTAACTAATAAAAATTACGGAATCTAAGTTTTGTTTCATATAATCAAAATGGCGCCATGGAAAATACGAAACGTTCAAGTACAAAAATCAACATTTCTTTTATTAATTATTCAGCATATTTTTAAAATTTTAAAAAGTAAAGAAATATGCAGATAAAACTAACTTTAAATATTATTATAAAAGAATGGTGATTTTCGTCTATTTAGGTTATATATTGTCAAACACAAAGAGTCCTTAAACGGTGTTTACTGCGATTATTGTGATTTTTTATTTTTCCAAAATGCTCTGGAAAATAAAATGAAATGATCTTTTATTGCAAATTTCAGTGTATTATTTAAGTATTTTTTATACTTTTTATCTTAAACCTCTGAGAAAACTTACAAAGAGGCCTTGAAATAACACATAACAAATAGCATTAATAAAGATAAAAGATATTGGTGATTTATTAATGTTTTAAACAAAGGCGAATGACTTTTTTTTTTATCTTTCCTCTGATATTCATTTAAATAAACTCATCATAGATACCAGGATTAAATTTAGCATTTACGCCAGACGCGCGTTTCGTCTACAAAAGACTCATCAGTGACGCTCGAATCCAAAATAGTTAAAAAGGCCAAATAAAGTACGACGTTGAAGAGCATTGAGGACCAAAATTCCTAAAAGTTTTGCCAAATACAGATAAGTTAATCTATTCTTGAGGTAGAAAAGCCTTAGTATTTCAATAATTCAAATGTTTTGTAAACAGTAAATTTATAAATATGACATTATCAATGATAATTCATGTCAGCATAGAAGTGCTGACTACTGGGCTGGTGATACCCTCGAGGAATTAAAACTCCACCAGCAGTGGCATCGACCCAGTGCTTGTAAAAAAACTCATCATAGATACCAGGATTAAATTTTGTATTTACGCCAAACGCGCGTTTCGTCTACAAAAGACTCATCAGTGACGCTCGAATCCAGAATAGTTAAAAAGGCCAAATAAAGTACGAAGTTGAAGAGCATTAAGGACCAAAATTCCTAAAAGTTTCGCCAAATACAGCTAAGGTAATCTATTCATGAGGTAGAAAAGCCTTAGTATTTCAATAATTCAAATGTTTTGTAAACAGTTAATTTATAAATATGACATTGTCAATGATAATTCGTGTCAGCACAGAACTGCTGACTACTGGCTGTTAATTTTGTGAAAAACAACCCATTATATGATGCAAAAAATAAGTTCCATCAATGTGCAGTAACGATAAGCATTCTTATTAAACAAAAAACAAAAGTGTATGCATATTTAACAACTATTTAGTATCTTTTCCTAAAAATTAAGCATATTTTATAAAAAAAAAAAAAAATAAAAACAATCCTGATGTACAAAAAGTCTGAAATCAAATTGCGGTTGAATTTCTATCGAAATAAAGAAATTATTTCATCTGTATTTAACACAGAAAAAGTTTAAGTATTTTCCTTCTTACATTATTTAGATTTTTTTTTAAAAATGTTATCTTGAGGCCTTTGAAATAATTAGTTACAAATAACATTGCATTATTTTTATCAAAGGAAAACAAAATGGTAATTTTGAACAATGCGAACAAGATTTTGGGATATTTTTCTCTGATATTATTTTACTTTTATAAAAAAAAAAACCTAAACTATAAAAGTACAAAAATCCAAAGGCAGTAAATAATCTCCATTTGAATAAAGAAATGATTGCATTCTTATTCAACAGAAACAAAAGTTTATGCATATTTATCCTTTAATTATTCATATTTTAAACAAAATTACTTATCTAAATGCTGGTATAATTACTGATTACAACTGACTTTGCATTTTTTCTGATATAAAACATGAAATATTTGCATTGTTAAGCAACGCAAACAAACATTTAGTATCTTTTCCTTAAAATTCTGCATATTTTATGAAAAAAAAACAACCAATCATGATGTTCAAAAAGTACTGAAATTAAATGGCGGTTCATAATTTCATTCAAAATAAATAAAATTATTGCATTCTTATTCAACTCAAACAAACTTTATTTTTTTAAATTCTATCAAAAACACTCATCTTGAGGCCTTTGAAGTAACTATTTACAAATAACATTGCATTTTTTTTTATCAAAAGAAGAAAATTTGTAATATTATACATTGCAAACAGTATTGTATACTTTCTTTGATATTCTTCTTTTTTAATGAAAAACAACCAATTATTAACTTTAAAGAGTACAAAAATCTTATGGCGATCAATCGTTTCCATTTAGAAAAAGAAATGATTGCATTCTTATTCATCACAAACAAAAATTAAAGTATATTTCTCCTTACATTGTCAAAATTCTAAGAAAAAATTCTTATCTTCAGGCCTTTGAAATAACTAGTTACTAAAAACATTGTATTAAATTTCAACAAAAGAAGAAAAAGTGGCAATTTTAAACAATGTGAACAACCTTTTAGTATATTTTCTCTGATATTCTTTAACTTTTATGAAAAGTAACAAATCTTAAATTATAAAAGGTACAAATATTAAATTGTCAATAATCTACATTAAAGTAAAAAATGATCATGATGATAGCATTCGTATTCAACAAAACAATAGTTTATGCATATTTATCCTTTGATAATTCACATTTTATACATAATCACTTATCTAAATGCAGTTATGATGACTAATTGCAATTGACGTTGTATTATTTCTGATATAAAACAAGAAATATTTGCATTTTTAAGCAATGCGAACAAATATTTAGTATCTTTTCCCTTAAGTTCAGCATAAATTATAAATAACAACTAATCCTGATGTACAAAACGTACTGAAATCAAATGGCGGTTCATAATTTCTATCAAAATAAAGAAATTATTGCATTTGTATTCAACACAAAAAAAAGTTTCAAAATTTTTCTCCTTACATTATCAAAATTCTTATAAAAAAATTATCTTGAGGTCATTGAAATATTATAACTAGTTACAAAAGCCTTGTATTATTTGTTATCAATAGGAGAAAAAATGGCAATGTTATACAATGCGAACAGCATTTTGTATATTTTCTCTGATAATCTTATTTTTATGAAAAACAACCAATCCGAAACTATAAAGAATACACAAATCTAATGGTGGTCAATAATCTTCATATAAATAAAGAAATGATTGCATTCTTATTCAACAAAAACAGAAGTTTATGCATATTTATCTTTTTTATTATTCACATTTTATACAAAACTACTTAATATCTAAATGCATTATAATGACTGATTGCAATTTATGCTGCACTATTTCTGATATAGAAGAAGAAAATTTGCATTTTTAAGCAACGCGAACAAATATGTAGTATCTTTTCCCTAACATTCAGCATATTTATAAAAAAACAAACAAAACAATCCTGATGTACAAAAAATACTGAAATCAAATGGCGGTTCATAATTTCTATCAAAATAAATAAAATTATTGCGTTCTTATTCAACACAAACAAAAGTTTCAGTAATTTAATTTTAATTTTATCAAAATTCTTTCAAATAACCAAGGGTTTGTATAGTACTACAGACATTCTTAAAATAACTTATTACAAATAACATTACATTATTTTTTTTATAAAAAGAAGAAACATTTGTACTTTGACACAAGAGTTAAAACAACACTCTATCAATCTAAAAAGGCTTTAAGTATCTTTACTGTGATACTATTGTTTATTTAAATCATCTAGTGTCATTGAATGATAACTTTGTATCGCTTTTTACTTGTACAGAAACATTCCGAGCATGACATTACTCTTATGTAATTTATTCGGCAGACAAATATGAATATGGAGTAATATATATGATGCGTGAAATGTGCTTTATATATTTTTTTATGTGTTATTGCGACCAAGTTTATCACATATTTACGAGTAAAGGTGTCTTCGTAGAGGTCCGTGCCAAAAGATTGTAAATAGTGTGGAGTTCGTTTTACATAAGAATTTTAATTATATACGTATCCGTCCGATCCGTGCATATAATTAGTTTACTGATCGATCGCTGACCGTTTGCACGGTAACATTCATAGCTTATTTTACGTATCTGACGGATTCTATGGGTCATCGATCACATATCAGTCATCGATCAGTCAAATATTCGTCACTGATCATTCACCGATCAGTCAAGTTCACGTCAAACAGCAATGCCTAAGGTTGCAAGTACTGTAAGCAAAAATGACGGCATAATTTCTTCATTTGTTAATTTATATATAATGAAACCTGCTGTAAGAAGCAGCAACACTTATTTGATTTCGTTTGTTAGCCTAAAGAAAAACAGATAAATATGTTAGTCTATTGTCAAATATCACTGATGAAAACCATATCGAAATTCAAATGATAAATTACATTTATTCTGTATGACATTTTATAAACTTCTATCACATATAATTTATTTTTAGTGTTTAAAGTATTTATTAGTGAATCGTTGTTTTAAGGATCTACATGTAGTTTGATGTGCTAAATGGAAAAATAGTGTTTTTTTGGGGGCTATTTACTTGCATTTAATAAAATTACTAAAGATCCTAAAAGTGATCCAAACACATGAATCAGACTATTTAAAAAAAAAGTGGAAAATATAATTCATGATTAATATTTCAAAGGGTGGGAAACACATTCGGATTGCATCTTTACTGTCGTTACCTTTGAAATTTCAGAATTGTACCGGTTCACATCGCCTATTACTATTTTTACCTGAAGCATATTTTTTCAGTGTCTGTCATTTTTGGAATTTTAGAATTGTACAAGCGTCTTTGTGTTCGGTTTAAACTGTTGTATATAATTCAAGATTGTTATAGTTCAATAAGAAATGATTGATAAGATTCATTTTACATCGTAATCATACTGATGAAGGATATATGTTATCCAAAATATTTAACATTTGTTCATTTTACTATTGTTTTGGTGATTTAGACTTGTTATATAATATGTTTTGTAGTGTACTGTATCCTAATTATATGATCCATCGCCCCATTAGATTTATCGTTGGCTATTATTCAGTCATTTATATATATGATTATTTATATATATGTGTAATTTGTCTAATTAACAGTCCAACAATGTAAGATCTCTAAATTTGCGGAAACATATTTGCTGTTCTTCCCTGGCCGGGATTTGAACTTATGCTACTTAGATATCGTGGCACCAAACCGCTTTGAAATGTGCCCGACGCCTAGACCACTCGACCACTCGACCACCTAGTATCTACAACAAAAAAGCATTCGGTGGCCGGGTGCTACCTTTCCTCGTCAGTTTTAATCTAGGCTCGTGTGGTCTAGCGCGTCGGATAAAGTGCAAGGCGATTTGGTGTCACGATATCTCAGTAGCATAAGTTCGAATCCCGGCGAGGGAAGAACAAAACATTTGCGAAAGCAAATTTACAGATCTAACATTGTTGGGCCGATGTTTAGAAGACTTGTATATACAAAATGTATTGTCAGCCTTGTATCACCATCACTGCTGGTGATCCGATGGATAAATCTGTTGTAGAGTTGTCACTGGTTCAGACGTACTTATAAATATATTTATATATACTTTTTAATCAATGTAAATAGTCATGTCTATTCGCGATTTTCATAAATATATATGAAATTTCAGTTTGACAACTTTAGTACGATCGTGTTGTATCTTGTGTGTTTGATTAGAATTGTGATAGCATACAAAGCTAGACTGTATTAAAGAGTACATAACACAAACTAAATTCATTCACTCCAATTTGAAACAGGTATCTTGATCTAGTATGTGATTGTAACTTTCCCTTTTGGTCCTGGCTAAAATCAAAATCTTTGTTTAATGATGTTGGTACCTGTGTGGATCGGGATAATATAAAACTGTCAAGTCTACACGAAAGTGATTTCGATAATTGTACCTGTAAGTATTTTTTATGATAGCATTTATCTATTGAGAGAGAAAACAATAATAATAAAAAAGTCCATAGATTTTAGGGTTTTGACATAATTACAAAAGACGTTATAACGAAAAAAATAAAGATATGGTCATTAAAAACAAGGGAGTGCACTGCTAATATGATCTGAACAGAATGTAATCGTTTCCAATTATAATAATTCATGTATCATGAAACAAATATTGTTGATAGCACTTAAATAATCTTCATGTTGTCAAAGAGAAAGCTAATTGCATATTAGTTAACAATTAGAGAATGCCATGTTATTTTTTACATTCATAAGAATGATTGCTTTATACGCTTTTTAATACACGTTTAGGTGAGTAGTAGATCTGTCAAACTGCATAAAAGAAATAAGTAATCTTTCAAACTATACTAGTAAACACAAATATTACGTAAACTTTACAATGAAGATAAAGTAACCCCAGAGAGTATTGAAAACGACGTTATGTTTAGGAAGTATTTTTCACTAGAAATGCTTAAAGAACTTGATTTTGTGAATAAATACAATCTGAATCTCTAGCGAAGAACAGAAATAAAATAAATCTTCCGAAAACTTGATATAAACCATTTTTATGAAAGTTCACTCTTTCAAAATTTCAGTTTCAGTTGGATAATTACATATTTTCATAGATTTTTTTCTTCGACATAATATTATTGCTTGTCGTTAGATTTGTTTTTAATCTTTGACATGGTCTTAAATCTATCTCTTCTTGGTATTGTCATATAAGTTTATAACTGTTTTGTAAGAGAAAAACAGTGTTTTCCGATGAAACCGGAAAAAAACGACAAACAATTAGTTATTTATCAATTATGGACTTTTGACGAGGTCAATACGTTATATAAGGACCTGGTCAGATTATATTGACCGAGGACGAAGTCCGAGTGTCAATATAATCTAACAGGTCGATATATAACGTATTGACCGAGTGAAAGTCCTTAATATCTGTATTACATATGTAAATAATGTATAAGAAAATGATTCAATGCTCTTTCTATGTAGTTTTTAATAGTATTTTGCAGGAATTTAACATGTTATTGAGAATATCATTTTTTTTAAACTTCATAGCTTGTTGCATTAGCATTCCTATATTCTTATCGTCTGCATTTAACATAAAATTCTTGAAATCTCCTGATAAATTGCAAATTTTCTTTTCTGATGCGGCGCTTCCTCCTCGGTTGTTATGGGTGACCTCATGACGTCATAAATTTTAATTTAGTAACATTTTCATATTGACCACCAATATACGTTTTAATAGAAAAATAGTGTCAATATACGTAAATATAGAAACAAGGAGTCAGATACGTAAAATAACCTTTGAAACACGTGATCGTCATATCCAATGCAAACAGTAGATTTGAATACGTCAATGTCGACATATTTATGGCGTCAAGTGACATAGATAATCTGTTATCACAGAGATATGTCTCGCTTTTTTGTAATTTTGATCATGCAAATGTTGAAATTAAAATAGCAATACTTAACGTGTAACATAGGTTTGGCAAATATTCAATAAACCATGACTGAGTTACATGGCTTACAGATTTCCATAAAAATGAGATGCTCCAATGCTAATACAACTACATACCAAATATAATTGACTTATTATAAGTCGTTCTCCTTAAACAAACATAAACACAACCTTATACTTGTAAACTAAGTAAAAGTTTCAAAGTCAATGAACCATGACGAGGGGATGGAGCTATATTATCTACAAGGAAACAACACTTATAAATGGCAATATATTTGCATACCAAATATCATTGACTTCATATTAGCACTTATTCTTAAACTGATCTAAACAAACTTATACATGTAAACTAAGCAAAAGTTTTAAAGTCAATAGACCATGACTGAGGGGCCGAGGCCAAATATTCTCCATGAAAATATGATGTGCTAATGCTTATACAACTAAATGCCAATTAACATTGGCCTACTACTAATGGTTCCCCTTTAACTGACCTAATCACAAACTAACATGTCAACTAAGCAAAATTTTTTCAAAGTCAATAGACCATGACTCAGAAGGCGGAGCCAAATAATCTTCATTGACATGAGATATGCCAATGCTTATACATCTGCATACCAAATATCATTGACCTACCACTAGTTGTTCCCTATGAACTAACCTAATCACAAACTTATACATGTAATATAAGCAAAAGTCTCAAATTCAATAGACCATAAATGAGGGGGCAGGATCAAATATGACTGACCTACAACATGTGGTTGTCCACAAACTAGACCTAATCACAAACTAATACATTATTGACGCCGCCGTCGACGTCGCCGCCGCCGACGCAGGAAACATCATACATATGTCTCGCTTTTTTTACTCCGTCAAGCAAGACAAAAAAGACTATTATAAAGTGTCAAGATAATCCGACATTATTATTTAATCAGCATAATTAGCAGAAATATCAAAAGTGTTATCTGTTTGTTTTTCAATCCAGTAAAGAAATAAGGAATCCTATTTTCCTCTTCTGGTATGTGTTTTTTGTTGCCTATCAACAGTTAATGTCTACTCAATTTACGGTTTTCACTGTGGTTGACTAAAATATGAATTAAAAGAAAAAAACGCGTCCGTTACTAAAATGTAAAACTATCGGGTCAAGTGATGAATGTTGGATTACACAAAAATAAACAAATAAAAAGCACGACGCTAGGAACATAACAGTATATTTCTTTTAAACAAAAGTGATCGGATTACAATTGACATTAAATACGTTAAGAACACACAACTAATTTGTTTTATTTATTTCTAAAATATTTTTTTTATTTACTTTTCATGCCTTACTTACACGAAAACATTAAAATTGCATATTCAAACTGTTATTTTAACACTTATCACAGACGTTTCGTGTTATCCTGACTATTGTTCAAATGGTGGATCTTGTAGTCAAAACAGCTATGGTGATTTAGTATGCTCTTGTGTCGGCGGTTGGATCGGTACTACATGTACAGGTGAATAGAATATTAACAGTATAGAAAGATTATGAATTTGAGAATGAAAATGGGGAATGCTTCAAAGAGACAACAACCCGACAAAATAGGAGACAACATCAGGAGGCCACCAATTGGTATTTGAAACAGCTAGAAAATCCCGCACCCGGAGTCGGGCTTCAGCTGGCCCCTAAACAAACATGTGAACTAGTTCAGTGATGACGGACGTCACACTTAACTTCAAGACATATAAATGAACTAAAATCTAAAAAAAAAACATACAAGATTAACAAAGACCACAGGCTCCTGAAAGGCGGCAGTGTTAAAGATGTTTTGTGAGATCTCAACCTTTCCACTAAACCTCTAGCCAATTTAGAATAATATTCCATGTTTCTATGTCAATACCTATTAAATTCTGATGGAAATACAACTGCAATCAATTGCTACCTAAAAAAAGAACTGAATTTTCCAATTGATACTGATATGATTTTTTTAAAAATAAAACAGACAATACATTAACTTTATATAATATGTTATGGTCAATGTTTAGTGAAAACTATAAGGTTAATTTTAAAAGCAATTTGTAATTTAAATATCATTAAAAGTGTTACATGCATACCGTATTTATTTAATTGCTTGTAATTTCTATAATCATAATTGTAACGTGCGTATTGCACACCAGTGTTTGATATTATATAGACATAATATATTGCTTGTACAATTTGGATGAGAATGAACAAAACAATTAAAAGATGGATTCCAGACACATGAATATAATGTATTATCAAAAGTTGGTTGGACTAAGAAAAGCCTTAGTCGGCTCGTTGAAATAAAAAAAAATAAAAATCATCTTAATCTATGTTAAACGTTCCCATTTATTGCTTCTTTACATATATAACTATCATAACGCTTCACAGTGTAATGTAAATGTTTGCTAAATGCTTTGTTATAATATACGCATATACTAACCTTATCTATATAGACAGAGATTATCAAATTTAATATTGTCGAAGTTATATTAATTAAAAATAACTGTTATTCATATGAACACTGTTTTTGTATTTCAAGTGAATGTATTGCATAGTTTATGTTATTCTATAACTTTAAATTTCTTTTTATCACATCCAGGTTAAGTAACACTAAATAAATGTATATACTTTCATCGTCAGTAACGCAAATTTAAACAATACAATAAGATTATATCTTAACTATCATCGTAAAGATCTTGTAGGTTATTTTTTTGTTAATTTAGATAGATGTAAGATGAGGTATGATTGCCAATGAGACAACTCTCAATCCAAGTCACAATTTGTAAAAGTAAACCATTATAGCTCACGGAGCCTTGGCTCACACAGAACCGCAAGCTATAAAGGGCCCCAAAATGACTAGTGTTTATCTATTAAAACAGAAAAACCAAAGGTTTAATCCATATAAAAAACGAGAAAAGAGATACACTTATGAATCACATCAACAAACGATAACCACTGAACATCAGGTTCCTGACTTTGAATAGGTGCAAACAAATGCACCAGATTTAAACGTTTTAATAGAAGCCAACCTTCACCCTTACCTGATCAATAACATCACAACATAGAGAACACACTATGAAAAATCAATTTAAATGGGATAACTAGATCAAAAGACATATTAACAAAAACAATGAACGAATCAATTTGATCTATGATACAATTTAAATACTATGTAAATAAAAGTATGCTTATTCTTGTATTTCACAGGTATTGACATGTTTGTGATTGTGTGAAATAAAATAAAAACACAATACTTGATATTCTATAGCTTTTACTCAAATTTAAAAACTACAGCTCTAATAAGAAAAAAGAAATGCGATCTACACCATTAGTGGAAATGATAAAGACAATAACAATATCATTTCAAGCAGTCAATCCATCATTCATAAAACAAGACTATAGATTTATCAGAATTAATCATCGAAACATCTATGGGTAGACTCAGGTGCGCCGAACTGAACCTGTAAGAAGTTCCTAATGCACTGTTAGAAAAAAATCACTGCAAGTAAAAGTTGGTGGTAAGTCGACTTTTCTGATGTCACAACCGAGAAAAGATGACAGAACCGTGACTGCGACATGGAACATGTGCGTATTAGTCTGTTAACCAAATCCTTATCGGTCAACCAAATTAACTATCGAGAAAAGTAGTTTGTACATATTACTATCATAAGCTCATTGCATTCATTTAATATTATGGAAGTGAGATTTCCTTATTGCGCTCTTTTTGAGTATTGCTTGTTTCGTTTTTATTATCTTTTCAGCTGTACTGAAATCTTCAATAAATGAGTATGCATTAATGTTTTGTTCGGTTTCAATTAACTTTAATATGTTGAAGTCTACAGGCCACCGATGAATTAACAATATGCAGAGTTTTGATTAATTTTCGACGATATCCTCTAAGTCACGTTTTTTACAAAACAAAGATGAATAACATTAACTGGGAATAAAAATAACCAATTCCAACTTTATGTTAACAATAAATGAATAAAGGCAACAGTAGTATACCGCTGTTCAAAAGTTATAAATCGATTGAGAGAAAACAAATCCGGGTTACAAGCTAACATCGAGGGAAACACATCAACTATAAGAGGAAAACAACGAAAAAACAGAAAACAGAAGTGCAACAAAAAACAAACAACATGCAACATACATAGAAACGAACTATTAGATAGCAAATGTCCTATTCCTGACTTGATACATGACATTTAAAGAGAAAATTGTGGATTGAACCTAGCCAAACCTCCGCGCTGTATAGCAATGTTAAATATACCGCTATATGATTATTAATCAACACATACAGTTTTACTTGAATGGCACAATTTATGTTTTTCATCTTGGTTAGTCTATATTTCTGTCAGAGATTACATTGTATTGAACCATTGTCCATGTATGTGCGATCATGTTATGGTAGGGCATTTAATGTCATATCTTGGTAATATTTCAATTGATATTTGATAATTATTTATTCAAGCAAAACTACTTTAAAGATATTTTTTTTCAATTTTCAATTTGAATTCTGCTTGAAAAAAAAAACAACAGAAAATTAAAAAAATATTGGGGGTGGGGGTGGGTAAACATATTACATTTTAGATACAAGCTGTTAAAAGTAACTGAATGATATGCCAATAGTACAAAGAATATATAGGGAAAAACGGTAGGTATAGTAATATTAGAAGCAATTAGTCCACATTTTATTTTTTTATTGATTTCCGTTCAAAAATGAATATGGGATCAATTGGTGCAAGCGGAGTCCTTAGCAAACTCGTCGGTTTTTAAAACAAATAACAACATAAACAAAACAATCAGCAGAGTTATTTATGTCTACATCGCAAATGCCAGAACTAATAACAGTATAGCTTTTTGTGACACAGCGTTTGCAAACGTGAGTGTGTATCTGTCATTTTGTTAATCAATACAAATATTGAAGTGTGTACAAATGAAAGGAAAATATACTGACTAATTGTCAAAGGCGTCCCTCAAGACACAAATAAACCAATAGCAAAATGAATGTGCTGCAACCAAAATCCATGTTTTTCAATATCAAAAGTTAATGATCGAGTTTGATTTTGTTACGTTTAACACAACGTTGACAGAATAGTGTCATTTTTAATCGGTTTTAAAAGTTGAACACGATGTTGCGTATAAACTTTCAACTCGACAATTATATATCAACAAATGATTTCAATATCAAAAGTTACTGATCGACAATTATATATATTAACAAATGATTTCAATATCAAACGTTACTGATAAAAGTTGAACTCGATGTTGCGTATAAACTTTCAGCTCGACAATTATATATCAACAAATGATCTGTCACGAACGCTCACAATTAAATGACGAAGCACAATATAATGTTTTTGACTGAACAGAGCTTCAGTACAGACAAAAATATTTCTTGAACTTGTACATTTCTCGCATTCCAGCAGCCTAGTCTTTTTCTTTTATTGGTTAACCGTCCATCAATACAAAGGAACAAAGTGAAGGTTCAGAAACAGATATCTACCGGCTTGTTAGCTGACATCAGATGATATAAAAACAACAATACGTAAAATACAAACATTATACAATGGAAATAGTATAAAGGACGAACAACCAGAGCGTAAGACTATTTTCAAAATAAATCCATTTTGCTTTTCTTTTTTTGGGAAAAGAAAAGAGATGACGGCCACAAATATTATGGATGGTTTACTTATGATGAGGGCTTTTTATTATATCCATATGGCCATTTGTTGAACACGTTATACGTTTTAGTCATCAACATATCAGTGCACCTTTAATCAAAACAAACTTAGGTTGTGACCATCCTCTAGACTTAAAAAGACTATAGTTCCTTACACCAGCGTTATTTGGTCTCTGGTTTGTAGTTGGCACAAATTTTTATTTTAATTCATTTGACAATTTGTTAATCGATTGGTGCAAAATTCGAGAATATGACATTGACATCGGCAAGTGTTATTTTTCAAAAAGCACGAAATACGTAAATATGTGACCGAGACATGGTGTCCTAAAGAAACCAGCATACGGTAGCTCGAGTTTATCAAATGATACTTGTCGACGTTTTGATAAGTTAAGGAATTTATTTTTTATTTATAATTGCGGCCTTTTTCTATCCATTACTGTGTTCGCTATTCAAACTGTTTTCCAAAGGCTTATCTGTTGTTTCACTACATCGTATCATTTTACACAAAATGGTCATTATCCTAGTAAAAAATGAATGCATCGTTATTTAACCATATTTTCATTTAAACATACTTTCGAAAACTTCGTGAAGATAACCTCTTTATAGATACCAGAATTAAAATTTTGTACGCCAGACGCGCGTTTTGTCTGCAAAAAATCATTGGTGACACCTGCATCAAAATATTGAAAAGGCAAAATCATTTTCTTTGAGAGGTTATTTACATGTTTCGCTCCCAAAATTGACCCTTATTCGTATTGAGATAATTTTTAAAATCATATTTTCATTTCATTTTTTGGTATTTTTATACATTATCAGCAACTTCTTAGGAAAATCAACTTTAAATTTCCGGATAAGTTGATTTGTTGATTTGCTTATACTTTTTTGACGTCCAAGGTAATATCATTAAGGAATTGGAAACTAAACTATTCCTATCTGCCTCTTAAATAATGTATAATTCAACCTCAACTTTTAAACAGAAAAGAGGAGATTATATGTGTACTTCCAAATCCAAGCTGGACTATTATTTATCAAACCATACAGTTATCTAGAACTTGTGTTGTCGCCTTTATTCATACTTGATAAATATATAGCCACGTCAGATTCCCAAGCAAATCATCATGGCGTATGTTCAGATTTCGATGGAATTACTTCAACTTTTGTTCTAGACGTCATCTATTCTTTGTGTAAAAGGCATTATTTCATAGTGTTTCAACTGTCATAACTTAAAGAATTCCAAGCAAAGCATTGCCTTTGCCAAAGTTTATTAGGTGGAGAGAGGGTGTTTTGTTGTTTACGAAGCTCTGGATGTATTGTGTACTTTACCATTAATCTCATGTTCATGTGATCCTTCTTTTTAATCTTTTGTGTCTAATATTTGTGGGGGGTTTTGTCAGCAACTTATATAATTTCGCATTGCTTTATACGAGATGACTTAGAATGTTGTGGTAGTATTTCGAAGAACTTATAGATGTCTGCATATCCTCCTTAACACTGCTAGAATTTAGCCAGAAAGAAAACTTTATTTTATAAAATTAAGTGAAATCATCTGGATATAATGTTGATGAGAGGACCAGTAATAGGAATTACAGATTAACTTGATGTGAAAGAGGGACGAAATATACCAGAGGGACAGTCAAACTTGATGTGACCGTTGAAGAGGAGAACTTGATTCTGAGTGATGATGCTGATACAAAATCGTTGCATTTAATGAAGCGAACAAAGTCGCATTTCAGATAACGTTATCTTGTTATTAATTATATATATATGTATTAATATGAACCATACTGAACTCAAGCTTTTTGAGTAACATTAAAGGTAGTTAACAACTATTAATCAGCCTTAAGGTGAACATCATGATATACAGTAAATATCTCATCATGAAATTTCCAAATTTTACGTCAATTAAAGACTTATCCTGTAATCCTTTTGAACGTTATTGTGATACTCAATATCTATTACAGAAACGTATGACAGAAGACTGAGGAAACAAGACAATTGTAAGCGTAACAGATAGGACCAGCGTTTTAAAATGAACGTCGAGCACTTTACACAAACAAAGCTTCAATCATCTGACAAAAATGAATCAACGTCTTGAAATGACTCTAGTAGAAACACCATCAGAACATTGTGACATTCAAGTTAGTACTTTTGAATGTTATACTTACATTATCTGTAAACGTAGTTATATCATTTGAAAATTTCTAGTATAAAATGAAAAAAGAATTAAAAAAAGGTTGAAAATGTTTACAAAGAACAGAAAAAAGAAAAAGAAATAGAAAAAAGAAAAAAAGGAAAAAAAAAAATAGAAACAAAAAATGAAAAGAAAAAAGAAAAAAAATAAGAAAAGAAAAAGAAAAAAAGGAAAGAGAAAAAAAAAGAAAAGAACGGCTCAAATATTGATGATCGGGAGGGAGGTGGGTAATGCAGCCAAGATTGTCTTTCCAGTCACAAGCCTGGATGAATGCAGAGTGACCATCTTTGTGTGAAAGTCCAGGATTTTAAAGACTATGAAAAATGTCTTTTAATCCTATAATCAAGGTTAACAATTCATAATTACAATTTCCTTCAAAAGAATCTTGAATATTTCATATCGAAATATGATGGATGTATCATGAATCGGAGTGCCCTTCATTTTACGGGGAAGATGATTTAAACCGTCCACATGAATAACATCAACACAACGCTAAGAAGTGAATCGTGTGCAATTCTTTACTATATACAGGTGCTAATGGCGTAAATACAAAATTTAATCCTGGTATCTATGATGAGTTTATTTACAACCACTGGGTCGATGCCGCTGCTGGTGGAGTTTTAATTTCCCGAGGGTATCACCAGCCCAGTAGTCAGCACTTCTGTGCTGACATGAATTATCATTGATATGGTCATATTTATAAATTAACTATTTACAAAATTTTGAATATTTGAAATACTAAGGCTTTTTTACCTCAGGAATATGTTAACTTAGCTGTATTTGGCAAAACTTTTAGGGATTTTGGTCTTCAATGCTCTTCAACTTCGTACTTTATTCGGCCTTTTTAACTTTTTTGGATTCGAGCGTCACTGATGAGTCTTTTGTAGACGAAACGCGCGTCTGGCGTAAATACAAAATTTAATCCTGGTTTCTATGATGAGTTTATTTACAACCACTGGGTCGATGCCACTGCTGTTGGTTTTTTAATTCCCCGAGGGTATCACCAACCCAGTAGTCATCACTTCTGTGCTGACATGAATTATCATTGATATGGTCATATTTATAAATTAACTATTTACAAAACTCTTGAATATTTGAAATACTAAGGCTTTTTTACCTCAGGAATATGTTAACTTAGCTGTATTTGGCAAAACTTTTAGGGATTTTGGTCTTCAATGCTCTTCAACTTCGTACTCTATTTGGCCTTTTTAACTTTTTTGGATTCGAGCGTCACTGATGAGTCTTTGGTAGACGAAACGCGCGTCTGGCGTAAATACAAAATTTAATCCTGGTTTCTATGATGAGTTTATTTACAAACACTGGGTCGATGCCACTGCTGTTGGAGTTTTAATTCCCCGAGGGTATCACCAACCCAGTAGTCAGCACTTCTGTGCTGACATGAATTATCATTGATATGGTCATATTTATAAATAAACTATTTACAAAACTCTTGAATATTTGAAATACTAAGGCTTTTTTACCTCAGGAATAGATTAACTTAGCTGTATTTGGCAAAACTTTTAGGGATTTTGGTCTTCAATGCTCTTCAACTTCGTACTTTATTTGGCCTTTTTAACTTTTTTGGATTCGAGCGTCACTGATGAGTCTTTTGTAGACGAAACGTGCGTCTGGCGTAAATACAAAATTTGAATCCTGGTATCTATGATGAGTTTATTTACTATATGAAGGTGCTAATGGAAGGCAACAGTAAACACATTTATAAGTCTGCTAGATATTATTAGTATACATTTGTTATATCGATGTAATCATGCTGAAGAATTAGAAGCCTCATACATTTGATGTATGTTAATATATAGTGATTCACCATCAATGTAATGAAGTATCTGTTCAACAAGTCCTTTATGTCATAGTCATGAAATTTCATATTTGATTTCTCTGATTTTATACTGATATAAAATTACACTTTATTACATCAACTGGCAGCATCTCTATCTTTTGCTTATTATCAACATTGTTTGGTTTTTTTTCAAAATGTTCAGAAAGATTTATTAGATACATTTTAGAGTCGAGGTATGATTTCAAATAAAGTTAAGGTCTATTTCTATGTTAAAGTAAAGTTAAGGGCATAAGGGATAAGTGTGGATTTTCAATTCTGATGTTTTCATGCATCACTTGTCGAAATATGTATCTGGTGCAGTAACATTAGTTCTGCACTGACCATTCAAAAAAATGTTAAAATTGTTTACTTCTCTTATTTTTGGCTTTCATAATGCTATAAATACCTTGGACGCAAAGTATTCAAGCAAATTAAAGAGATGGAATTCGAAGACTACTGATAAAAAGTACAAAATTAGTAGTTAACATATTTTCGTCGTATTTTTCAAAGTTAAGAAATTTTAATATTATAATAAAAATACTTTTCCTTTTCTGTTCAAATAGGAAACAAGACAAAATAGAAACTGATAAAAAATAAAAATGGTGCTATATAAAAAAATTTGGGACATATAGAAAAAAGATTATAAGAAAAGGAAGTTAAAACCCTTGAAAATTAAAGCATATCAGTTCGTCTGTACATATAAACAAAGATAATTGCGGTTTTTTATACATGTTAACAATTTTAAAATACAGTACATACAAAATAACTATTTAAACAAGAAAATTAGTCCGGTGAACCTATGTTTTCTTTTTTCTTATCTGAAATCATACCGGAAGTGTTATAGTCTCATATTTATTCTCAAATTTCTACGTTTTTTTATCACAAAAAATT